TAATGTAGAATATACATCAGTCACTGTACCAACGTTCAACGCCTCGTGAAAACTTCCTGTGTGCTTCCAGGGAATTATTTGTTAGCAAAGCTAAACAATTTTACCTTAACTCCATTCATCTTGCTTTAATGAAATTGTAAACTTTTTAAAATTGATTTTAAAACGTGATATCAAGGAGGTTAAATACAATATTTAAAAAAAAGGAATTGGCATAACATCGTTAATATGTAAGAACATAATTCCAAAGCTAGATCACAGTTAGTCAAATACCCAGAGCAGGAAAGTTTATAAATATTTTAATTTAATTTAACGTGTAAATAAAATGAACATCATTATGGATTGAGAGATTGCATACTAATAATTCATTACGAATATGATAGCCTTCCTTCATAATCATTTGAAATCATATGTTTTCTTCTCGTTCTTATAAATCTGTACATAATAAAGGGTTTGACAGGCGGACGGGCGGATTACTAATAAAAGACATCTTTAAAATGAGAAATAACACCGACAACATCTTAGAAGTTCTAACGCATTAAGGTGAGGAGGTACAAATTTATGAGAGCCACGAGTTAGTTTAGCAGACGGGAAGCAGGCTGGGTGATTGACAAATTGTGTGCGGTGTTGAAGTTAGTGTAATGTGGATTGGCAGGCGCGAGCCGCCCGCCGCGCGGCCGAGTCGTGCGCGCTCGACCCGTCAACCCTTCGCACAGCGAGGACTCGGTGGCTGAAACGGCGCTCTCCAAACGAAACTCCGACGGTAAGGACCAACGTAACGGCTCGACTTATTACAAAATACCTGACGCTCCAGATTAAACACGCGCAAATTATATGTACATTACATCTTCAAACACTCAATAATGTTATTTGTGGAGGAAGATAGGCAAAGTGAAGTTAGGAAAAAAACGTCTTAAAACTATTTAATATGATACTTAAAAAACAGAAGCAATGTAACAAAATCGTCTTGTCCTGGTGCTGTATGTACTAAAGTTTGAACTTTTGCGTAAAACAAAATAAGTTAAGCAAGCTTTTTGCTAAATAGATAAAAATATATTAAATAGCGTTGGTGACGAAAAACTATTCAATTTACAGTGCGATTAACGTTACTACACGTTACCACACTATTGATAAATAAAACATTCAAATGACTAATGTAATGTAAAAATCAGTTTTAAAAACGAACATCGACAACTCGTTATTTTCCAACGGCAAACAGAATGTTGTAATTTTACAAGTCCAAGTATTTTTACGAAATGATAAATTTTCTCGTTTCTCTGTTTACCGCCATAAATATTCCTCGCATAAATAATATTATCCGGTAATGGCATTTGGCTTCTACCCAAATGCTCACACTAATTTCATTACATCTCAACTTTAACTCATTTCTTTATAAATTTGTACGTTATTTTCATTGCTAATTTATACATAGAAATTAACATAATATCTACGAATTGAGATGCTTGCAATATACTACATGTGAACATTATTCACAATATATAATATGTAAAATAACTGCATTTTATGCATTTTAAAAACTGCCTTACAAACAACATGCAACTGAATTTCTAGACGTAGATGATCTTACAAAAATGTTAACCCAAAAACCCTAGAAACTAACATCAAACCATTCGTTGTTGTTTTTTTTTTATTCAGTGTTATTATATGTTTATGATCGTATTCATTGGCCAAAAGTAAGCTTTATTTATGTCAATATTGTATGGATAACGAAACGATCTTATAAAATTCATTCAGTAGATACGAAAATCCGTGGCGTTGGATACGAATAAATTTCTTTAATTTATTTATATTTTATTTTATTAGAGCGTAACATTATATCGTAACATATGGGCGCAGTATTGTCTTCGTTTGTCTGCATTCGCGCACATAAATAACCGGTGGCTTAAGACCTAGTTTGTTTATGCGGCGCTAATCCAAAATGTGCCGCGCGAATTTAAAGACCGTTACTCATCACGCTCTATTGCATGTGTTTGCAATAACCATTTAAAACACTGACGTGTATCTGTGTTTTCAATTACATTACAAATTTCATAATTTATTTTCGTACTTGTAAGATCTTTGACAAAAACTAATTTCCCTTCCTTCCTTTAATGTATCTAAGAAACAAATTCAAAAGTTATAAATGACCTATCATCAACGACCAACATCTTAAATTAAAATAAAAATCATTAAAAACTTTCCACCGTAAAAATCTAAAATCGGCTTTATTAGTTATAATTAGTAGAAGAATAGTACGAAGCTTCATTATTTTAACTAAATACATAAGTAAATCAAAAAATCAGGACCAACCCCTACTGAAGTTAAGAAAGAAACTATTGTTTTGATTACTATAGGGAAAGTAGGCAGATTAATGAACATTCATAATACCACAAGAACAACACTATAAATCTTTAACGGTAAACGAAGTAACTGTAATTAAAATACTCGGCTGGAATATGTCCATATTTACACTAGATTAGTTTGTGCCCATAAATGTGCTACCAATGAAGATTGTCCCTTAAAAAACTATTATACACAAGGAACCAAAAAAATAGGTTTGAAAATGCAAGCAACAGTTTTATTCATAGAATGTTTATTTTTCCTCGTAATCGAGTGAAAAGCCGGCAACAGCTAAAATAAAAAAATATTTGTATTTTACAACTTCTTTCGTACAACAGCAGTTTGTTGTTGTCATGAAGTTCGTTAGGAATTATGATTCTCTGAGTGTCATTTTGACCTTCTTCGGCAGCCGTCGGTTCCGCCACTTATATTTGTATGCTAATACTTTCTCTGCGGATCATTATTTATTTTTTGAATGGTTGTACTACCGGGTTTGTTTTGAAAAAAACAAATGTTTTAATCCACTTTATCACTACTACATATTATGTGGAGTCTATAGAACTTAAAATATAAATAGATTCGACGCTAAAAGCCGTGATTTATAAACTAAAGCAAGATAACTTGATGTAATTTTATATAATTGTTATGTATCAGAAGGATTGGGACGTGGACGTTAACATTGTTACCGACTGCAGACGTAGTACATATTTGGTTTTGTATAATTTATAATTATAAATTTAAACAGTATTATAGCTATAAATATATTATTATAAGAATATTGTAATTTTGTTATCATAACTAGATATTTTGTCATAACAAAACTAAACTACGGTTCATATCTTTGCGACTGTGATCGATTGTGCTACAACATTTTGTAAAGCATCAGTCTGAGAAAGGATGATGGATGAGAATGAGTTTGAAACATCTGCACAAATTCATAATTAATTTTCGGGTAAAATTACACCGAGCGGGTTGTAAAAAATTACTCAGATTAAATTGAACATTTTGATTATTAAACAAGCTATTTCGTATTTGAATTTAATTACAATGTTTTATTATCTAAATTAAAGCATTTATTTTGTAAAGTCTATTAAATTAAAATCATTTGCAACCTTTCAAAAAGATTAAACCAATTATCATTTTAACATGAATATTTAGATTGAGACGGGGCGCGCGGAATTCTTAATTAATGCAATACCCTTTCTGATATTATTTACATAAGATGTTTAATTCTAAGACAACTTTTTTATAAGTGTCCGAAACTTTATGGATATTCAAAATACCATATTAATTTAAGCCGTATCTACAGTATACGCAGCTCAATAAACTCCATTCTAACCACTTTGGAAGTTAACCGACCGAAAGTTATTTGCATATTCTATTATATCTATCCATTTTCATCGAGGTATAAAATAAATATTGGTCGGAATCAAATTCTGGTTATTAAAATTGAATTATTTAACGAAGTTTACTTCCCCATTGGTATACAAGACAAAAAAGTTTGTAAGAAAATGTCGTTGTATCTATATTAGTGGTCTCTTGTTCTGCACGTTCGATTCATTTACAATACTGTCAATACAATATGTCCACGCAGTTTTTCTGCGTTGCGTCTTCAGCGCGTGTCTTTATCATTACAATAGGTTAAAAATCTATTCATGTTGAAAAACATATTTATATACCCTGATTAATATTTAAAAATACCAAACAAACTGACTGACTGCATCTGTTGGCTGCATTTAAAATCTAAGATTTTAAATTTTAAAGTGTTTTGATTTAAGGTATATATACTGAAATGCTATACAAAACAATATATTATTTTATAATTTGATATATTTAGAATTTATTTGATTATATGAAAAAAATATTTAACAATTAAAAAAATAATGGACATTGTGGTTCGAACTCCTATTACTAATTAGGTTCGTGTACCCTAAGTTCACTAAGTACATGTATTTTATCGATGTAATATGCCTATGACACTTTAAGGAGGAAGGCGAATTGAATGGTACCTCACTCGTCCAAATCGGTTTAGTCATTTCTCGGCTGTCACAAAAGAATTTATATTACATAATACAAAGTCTAATATGTACTTAAAAACGAATTAGTATACGCGCAAAAAAACAATACGATCTTGTTAGTCTTGTAAAATATTGAATTTAAACGTATTTTTTGTGTATTACAAAAACATTTTTGTAAAAGCTAATAACTAGTAATGCGAAAGGTTTTAAGTCGCTCTCGAGTGCGCCGTATCGTATACATCCGCTATCGTTCTAGATTACTCACTAGATGAGACTGCATCTAACATGCGAAAAGAAACCTTTGCATTCAAGTGAATATTTTCCATTTCAGATTTTTTTCGAATGATACAAGACTACATGAACTATCAGAAGTAAAGGATGTGTATAGTCAAACAAATGAAAGTCGCTTAAGGAACGAATATCGTAGAGCAAATTGTCAAGTTGGTAGAACAAGTTTTTGGCTTTGACATGAGCGTCTAAATTTGTATAATTTCCTATGCAAACATGTAATAAAGGTCCTCGGCTATACATTCGTGTGTATGAAAACATATTTATTAAAATGCTTCATCACCGTATATCATATCAAGCTCCTGGTATGCATTGAAATAATTACATTTTTAAATGTCAAGATTTTCTTTTGTGCAGACGAGGATGAGGAGCCCCGTTGTGTGACATTAACTCCGCGACATAAAGCTGCTATCAGATTTATAAGGAAGGTACGTATTTAATATATTTTTCGTATTTAATTGAATATTCGTAATACTTTAACTACCATTTTTTAAAGAAGTATTTTATAATAAATTAATATTGATAGATATTTCAATTTTACATTTATAAACAGATCACATTTAAACATTATCAATAAGATGTTATGTTACACGAGTACAAGAAATAAATACACAAACCTATTTTAATGAGATGATTTTTAAACAAAGCATTTATTGATTTAATCAACAATATAAAAATTTACTCACTCGATACCTTTACACAACTTAACCTATTTCTTTAGTAAATAAAACGTAGCAGAACACAGGTTTACCTTCAAACATTGGACACAGGTAGACCGTATGGACAAAAAATATATTGAAAACAAAGAAAATTTATACTTTTGTGGACGAAATAGCGAAGAGATGATTCGAGACATATATAATTTATTGTTTAACTTTCGTTGCCTGTTTCAGTTGAAAATAGACATTAAATTGTTAAAAATAATGTTTGAAAAGATACTTTAACTATCAAAAATTAATATAAAATTATTAAATACCTAAAATGAAACCATGCTAAGATTAAAATTTAATCAAATAGAGTTAGTAGATACTAGAATGCACTAGTTTATAATTTTATTTTAAATCTAGCTTAATTTTATAGTACAGATAAAAGTTATACACTCTTATAGTTCTGTTGAGAGGTTTTGTTCTATTTAAATGTACGCCCCTATGTAGTTAAGTTTTTTTATGTAGCAACAGAAACAATATTACGACTGCTTTTGTTATATGAACAATAATATTTTTTTCACAATTAACTACAAAGTAGCGGTTCATTCAACACTTTAAGAAAAAAACACTAATACAAAATTAATAAACAATTGTTTTTTTATTCTGTATAATATCGTATTAGAGAAGTTCACTGAAATATTATAATGTGGAATCCTGACAGATGAAGTATTTTGTGGCCCGCCGTAAGTTTAAAGAAGCGCTAAAGCCATACGACGTAAAGGATGTTATAGAACAATACTCCGCGGGCCACGTGGACCTGCTGGGCCGAGTGAAAAACGTCCAGACTAGGTAGTACCTAGCCAGAGACATCAGTACGCCTTGCACTTACCATTTACCTACTCTACGTCCTTCATACATTCTCTCGTTTGGTCTTCACACCTACTGTGTCTTGTTACGTTACCTCTGTAGACGAGTTTGGCTTCGAATCTAATACTTTGTTATACATAATACTCTGTAGTATAGTGTGTGTATGGCTATCTTTAATTTTCGACATACATTGTTGACACTGTTTTACATAAAAATATATAGAATATTCCTTTACCCTCTACTTCACATCACAATCTTTATAGTAGCTCTCTTTGATACATTTCTAGTTAGTTTGGTAAACAATAGTGACAGATGATATACGTATAGACGCGTCTGGTATCCTACTGGAACGAAAACCTATGAGTGTACCCTATTCGCATGACTGACCGATTTACTCGTACACTAAAGACTCATTAGAATAGTGGTTCAATCATTGAGATTTGTTACGCCGCATGATGCGAGTCGGTAAATTGTAAACCTTTCAGTTGTTTGAATAGTAATGTATTGTATAATACATTTTGATCTCAATAAGACAAATTCATCGTGGCTTTCAGAAGTAATGTTATATTAACTTAATAATTTTAAATTAATAATAATTAATTTACTGTTAATATATTTTATATCAAACGGAGTTGCTTACGCTTGTTATTTTTGTTAAATATAAAAGTATCAGTACACAGTATATTAATAATTTTATAAATAATTATAAATATTTTTATACTAACAAACGACAATAAAACCTTAAACAACCTTATTAATTTCTTTTAATAAATGCTAGTATGTTTTGTAATAATTATCAGTGCTTTATTGTGGATATAAAGCACCTTTATGTAGATTTACATAAATATATAAAAGTAGAGACCAAAATTACACCTATAAATAAAAAAAATTAAACTTGTCATCTTTGTCAATGCTATAAACACCAATTAAATGAAAAGTTTTAAATAAACTATCATCTAATACAGACGTACATATTATAACTAAAAGAGGATATATTCAGAAATGTACATCGCTGTCAGGAATATATTTTATTTTCGTGTAGCTCAAGTACTTTGTCGCGCGCAAGAGATTTAGAGAAGCATTGAAACCTTACGACGTGAAAGACGTCATAGAACAGTACTCCTCCGGGCACGCCGACCTCCTAAACCGCACCAAGAACTTGCAATACAGGTGAGGTCCTAGCTGGTCGTAGCGCGAGCGATCCGCGCAGCGGCCCCGCGACGCTTCATTCACCGCTCTCATCAGAATACATACGATAATACTTAGCCTTTAATTAACAAGACAAAACTTGTGTATTCTATGAACGATCAAAAATATGAAGTAGACTTAATATAAATAAACTCGTAGATTGTAGCATTGACACCGTATTACCTTAAGATAACGCGTATAGGTATATAAATGAAGAGCCTTTTGTGGAAAAAAACAATCTCTTCTTTTGCTCTTAGTTTCTTTTGTCAGACTGATAAGCTTAAATGAAGTAATAAAATTCGCTACTCATTCTTTCTGTTGTTGTTCTCTAACAAGGTAATTTAAATAGTAAGTCGAAGATTAAATATTATTATTTATTCCTTAGTAAAGATATGTCATTAGTGGAAACAAAAGTTCGCGTTGACAATTTAATTTTTACATTTGACTTCAATGTTTTATCGTTTGAGATCGCAATTAATTTTATAGGAGCCATAAAATTAATTTAATAGATATATTCGGTTTTAAATACTACACGATAAATATTAAGTGGTAGGTTTACAATAAATGTTCTTATTTCGACATTAATTTGTAGACTGATAGTTATGAAAAACCTTTTAACTTTCAGGCTCTGACTGCTTCACTCTACGTATATTTGATATAGTGTTCCTGTCGCCAGTGCACGGCAATCATTAAGCTTTGTTACTAGAGCTTTGCACGACATCTACGCTTTCACTATATCATTACTCTTATTAGCATTTATTTGTATCATGTATGTTTAAAAATAAAATTACATATTGGTTATACACATTTCTTATATGTGTCATTAGTATTTTGATAGTAGTTATATTAATAATGGTATATCTAAAAATATGAGCATTATGTTTTCTTATTTAACAATAAAATAATATTACCATACATATGCGAAATTTTGAATGGCTAAATGTTTGTTTGAACGTATCTTCGGAACGGCTTAACGAATCTTCATGAAACTTTGCACAGATGTAGGAAGAACACATAGGCGATTTATTAAGTTTTCTTTTTAATTCCGTGTCGACGGGGTCGCAGGCGACAGCTAATTTAACAAAAAAATTCCAATACATTTGTACATTAATATCAATCATTTCGATTTGATTTTTAACTTAAAAAGCTGCGTTTATCATACTTTTGTTCGTAAGCAGACACGCAAAAAGATTTTCCTCATGGCCAAGTATTAACCTCTACCTAAATATACCAGTAACCGTCCTGGATGTACGTATGTTTGTGTTTTTAAATAATATAAGAAATGGCAACAAAGAGGCCTCAGGGTCAACTAAAATGTGACCATAACATTTAAGAAGTTTTTATATTGCATTTACTAAAGGTTACGTTTGATAAGTGGTAGAGTCAGTGGAGCTTCGGTCCACTTAGAACTGAAATAACTAATACTTTGTGTTTGTGTTCACAACGGACTACCAAAGTCTGTTCGAAGACCTTTATTAAGTAATATAATTGTTAAGCTTTTCTAATTTTCATTTATTTAATAAATAATAAATTATAGTAACTTATTACTGAACTGACATTTAAAATAACCTTGTTATAACCAGAACGGATTTGGTTATTTTAGCGAACGCTGAAGCAAATTGCCTCAAAACAATTCTATTTCAGCCTTTTGTTATTGTTTTTACTGAGGAACTATACAACTACCCAAAGTTTGGTGTAAACTGATTTTCGTCCAGAGCCGTAACTATACAACATCCAAAAACATGTTGTCCACGGTTATTGTATGAATAATTAATTCGTTATACATTAAACTGATATTTTCTGAAATGTTTTCTTTTGTTGTTTTTTTTGGGAATTCATTTGATACGATGGTATCTATATTTGCATAATATTGTAACCTTAGTCTGACGTCATGAACATGAATAACGCAATATATAATATTAATCCGTGCCTCACGATAAAGCCAACTTCAAAAATTGATAACTTAAAAATTCTGTACAAAGACTTGCAATTTAGTAAAGCCATATAACCAAACAGTGGTATAAATGTCCCTATGTACGAAAACATGATACATAATGCTCATATTTCGTTCCATCGTTCAATACCTTTGGGTATTAAAAAAAAATTCTAATGTAAGTATCAGTATTAACTTTACGTACGTATTTCATCCAATAATTTTATGTAAACATAGTGTATTGTGTAAATTAAATACATTTAATTTTACTCCATAATAACCCACAGGTTAGATCAAATTCTCGGCAAGCAAGGCTCGAAAGCCAAAGACGTGTATGCATCCAAAATCAGCCTAGCTTCCAGAGTTGTTAAAATTGAAAGACAGGTAATATTTGGCACTGTAAATGTTTTTATTTTCTGTTACAAAATTGTTTTACTAATGATATATTAACAACTATTCACTTCCAGGTAGATGACATAGAAAGTAAGTTAGATCATTTATTAGAAATGTACGAAGAGGATAGACGGGCGACGAGGAGGCTGGGCGCTGCTAACGGCGAGAGCGGCGGGTCGGGCGAGGGCGCTGTGCGCGGGCGGCCCGCTATCGCCGACAAGCAGTGCTCCGAGCCCAACTCGCCTGTTTCGCGAGCCTTCGAGCCTGCCCCCGCCCCTACCGCCCTCACCGCCCCGCACTTCAAGCGACCCATGAATAGAGGGTATTCCGATCTGGGCACTAGATTTATGCGCAAAAAAGTCATCGTCAAGTAAGTTTATAGATCTCAAAATCTGCCATTTGCGATAAAATGTAATATAATAAATAAGTTTTGAATCCCTATCGAAATCCACCAAGCTCTTACTACTACTAATACTTAGTACTCTCCAGTTAGAAAGTATATATTTGGTTGAAAGAAGGAAAAAAGAAAACTTTTATTAAAAGCTTTGAAGAATCTTTAGAACAACAAAGTTAAAATTTCCTGTCCTGTCTTTCTACCCGATTATACCTATATTAAATTGTTAAAGATATTACAAATAAAATGATTCTAGAACATCATCATCAAATAGAAATGGGGAATCGCCTCGGGACGATGAAGTAGTTATAGTAGTGCCGACTGACCGCGAGGACACTCCGCCCCGCCTCGCCACTGACAGCTCAGGTAAAATACCTCTCTGTATATAACTAGCTACATTATACAGTAAGCCAGGGTTATTCGTAAAAACTATTGTTTGTAGTATGCTAAGTTCTGTACTGAAACTCAAATATTAAACGATTTACAACTAATCAGTCATCGATAATATGTAATTACGTATTTTACGTGGCACAATGCTGTCTACTGGTGAATCTATTAAACCTATTTAAATGATTGACTGTCAATTTATTTCTTAAAAGTTATATTAACTAAATTATCTGCTATTCCTGTTACGTCAATAGTTCTTTTTAAATGTATATCTTGTTATTGGTGGTTAGGTTGGACGGAGATATTAGGAACCCCTACGCATCGAATGAACCCGTATAGTTGCTAAATAAAAAGCTCGCTCTGTTGGTGGAGGTGTCAGCGTATCAACCGCGACAAGGAATTTTTCATGTCCACGACCGCAAACGCTCATTGCTTCGGGGTTTTAAGCTTCGTTTATCAAATGATAAATAAAAAAATAGGCTTCATTGTTTTGCTATCATGACGGGATATCTTCATATAAATATAATGTGCGATTTAATATATTTAAACTGGAAGCTGTATATTGTAGACAATATATCACTTTTTTATATAAATAAAGGAGATAGCTTTCTTTCAGTAAACTTAAAATAGCTAAGCTCTTTAAAGCCTGCCAGTAGACAGTAGGGAAAAACCACATAATAATATCGAGGATTACATATTATCTTAATTTTATCGAATCATTTAACAGTATTACTAATTAAATATTAATCGGAATGTTTTAAGTAAACTAGCTCGTGCTTTGTAAATACAAATTTGTGAATTACGACACATCGATCAATGGTCGCTGGCGCGCTCCAAGCAAACGAGATAAGTTTGGCGTCTGTCCGTGAGTAGCCGCCGCTGCCACTGCCGCACGAACGCTCTCAGTAAAACACAACATGTAGGCGTAGTGTATTTCTAGCTTAACCCGCTTATTGTATTAATATACATTGTATCTCATGATGTTAGTTTAATATGACTTGCTGTTTATTGCTCAATTATAAGATTAACATTATATTTATCAGTTATGACATAGACATGCACAGTGAGCCGGCTATTATGTAACGCCGTAGATATTGTTGTAACACATAGTGGCTTGAAATATGAATTAACCAATTGAACATCGTTGCCATAGGTATAAATATGCGAATATTACAAAATTGCAGCATCTTATGAAGACTATTCGTCGTCGACCTCTCTCTGACCGCCGCCGCGGGAGAGACCCCTCCCCCCCGGCCGGCCCCGGCTGCGTGAGTCCTAACCTTTCCCCTATCGATGTGTGGAATGTGTATAATAGTTTCTCTTTGTGCCCTCCCTTTTGCTCTTTTTGAATGTATTATTAAGGTGTTGTATTTAGTACTACCATGTCTCTTATTTTGTCTATCGACCTACATCTGCCAACCTTAGCTCATTCATATATTTTAAGTTCCTCGCAACAAATGTGTCATGTAGTTATTTCTATTTAAAAGTCCCTAAAGCAATATTTGCGCTATGTTGAGGTATTTAAATTATGGAGTATATGCATTTTTCTATATTAACACAAACATTTACCACTACATACCATACTCGCATGCATTTTATCTTATACTTTAAGCGTAGATTTAGTAATTGTCTTATATTAATGTGTTAATACTTAAATAATTATAAATAAATTTTCAACAATTCAATCTAAAGCTATATTCTAATAAACTGCATTAAAACACTTTATTTTTCATTTTATTAAAAAGGAGAATATTTTGGGTTAAGATTACAGAGATTATATCAATAATAATAAAGCAGTAATATACAAAAATATATATAACTCTCGACCTAATTATAAATAAGACTATTCTGTGTTGTAACACCAAGGCCACAAGAAATGTTAATATTCCAATCGAATAATACGTATTAATAGGCATCAGTCAGAAGGTTATTACTACCCACGCAAAATTAGATATGTATATATCGACTATCTACACCACAAACTGATTTTTTCAACCTCTTCTAGTGACGCAAATAAAATATAATATAAAAGGAGCACTATACACTAAAGTGTTTTCAGTTACTCTTTTTTAATTTAAACTTTTTAAAATTTAAACGAATAAGAGCTACAAACCAGATTCGTAGCAATTAAGAAGTAATACAAGCGAAATTAAAAAAGTAATTTTATCATTAGAAGTTGATATTAATGGCAATACTTGAATTTAGAAATATTTGGGCCGTAATGAAACTGAAGGAGGAAGGACTGCCGCTACGAGTACTATCAGATCTCACAATATCTGACAGCACTTTTCAGTTGTAGACGCCCAGAACGGGATGAGTGGCTCGTAGTTTAAACGGTGTTCAATAATTCAAGTGTATGGAATAGTGCCAGCTCACACATCGAATGCTCGATGTGGAAACGATGATAAAGAAGTATATTTCTTTTGACTAAAAGCTATAATTTGCACTCGAAAAATCGACAAATATTTACCATTATTAACGTATTTTAAATATTTTTAGTAGTATAAATTTTATCTTTACTTATAATATGATTGATGCCTCCGAATTCGATCTGTACTTCGGAAGGTTTTGACAATATTAATACCTGTTCCCAGTTATAACTCCTATAAGCTATTTAAATGGTACCCAACACAAAACAAATATCCACGTGATGGTTTGTAGTAAAAAAAAACACTAAATACAACTATTAAAATTTACGTCTCATTATTTAGAATGCTATTCCTACGATTAAAATTATTTTGTGTTGTTTAGATAAACGCTAGAAGTTTTTTGTTACAATTTTAGCAATGTGTCGTTAAATACTCGTAGAATTCAAATAACCATATTTGTAATATTCATCTACAACTGTTCAGTTCACCTGGTCGTCGTTAGTATGGTACATCATCACATAATTACCATTCTAAAAATGCATATCAATTATATGTTCCCAGAAGTTTGCGCAAGCTGTTCAGTAGAGGTAGAAACAGAAGTGGAGGCAGGAGGCACACGCTCAGGGAGCTCCGGGTCGCCGTCGTGGTGCGAAGGCGAGGGCGAGGGCGAAGCGGGGGACGAGCGAGGATACGGCTCGGGGGACTCCCTTGCGGAGGACGCCGCCCTCCTTGGCGCCGCACAGCCCGCGCACCCTCCCAGACTCCTGCGCACACAGAGACGAGACGTCGCCGTCGACCTGCACCTGCTCAGGCCCGACGTATGAGCAGTGCCATCCCTCGCGTCCCGCACCACGCCAAGCGACGTCTATTTTTATCGCACAACAACTTTACCCGCTCACGAACATTACTTGTCATAGATGCTTCAGCATAGAAATTGTCGGAGCAGAATAAACGCTTCAATAATTAAAATAAAGTATTATATTATAATATATGTAAGTCTCGTGCAGTGAATATTATTAGATAATTTGTACAACGATTTAAATAGTGTGATTAAATTAAGGTTATAATTCCACTCATTTTAGATCTATATAAAAGACCAAAGACTCAAAAGTAGACATGGTACCTTTTATATGCAAGTACATAATTTAACTGGTTACGCCTATCTCGTTATAACAATTTGCTTAAACGATATATTATGTACGAAACTTATAACGAACACCTACTTGCATCAAAAAATTGATGCAAGTAGGTGTTCGTCTAAAATTGTATATAAATATTAGATTAATTTAAGTAAATTTATTAGAATATCCCAATCAGAAAGCCACGAATAACAGCTGCGGCGGAACAAACCACATCTGCCTTGATAATAATATTTAGATTATTGTAAAAGTTCTTAAACTTTTCTTCGCACGTCCCAATAAATAGATTTTTATTATTAAAAAAAACTAGATAATCGTAAAATTAATATCATGTTTATTCAGTACTTTTGACATTGGTGTCTTTCCCATGACAGATTTTGATTTGTTGATAATCCTTGATTGTAATAAAGCACATCATCATAATTTTGTAAAATAGATGCCCAACTTGTTTTGTATATTTCTCAATAGTAGAATTTCATATTAACAAGTGAACTGTGATAAACTTTTTGAGTTTAAAACTAGTACCCACACTAAGCGCATTTTAACAATAAAATATATAAGATATAGATTACTGTCGAATATTACCTTCAAGATTTCTATAACAAAACCACAACAATAAATCTGCATCATTTTGTTTAAATTTAAATAAATGAACTATTTCTGACATAAAAGAGATTGGCAGTGGGTTTCCGAGATTAAAATTTCTTTATAAGACATAACGTTGTCCCTGGCACTATCTTTGACAAAACAAACATGACAATATGGTTAACGAAGATTTTGGTCTCAGAAACTCAAGGTAAGAACAGCAAAAGCTGTGTGTTTCCTCTAATAGGTCTAACAAGTCGTCGAGTTAAAAACAATCAACAATGATTTATTTAAAATTATTAATTTTTTAACATAAGCAAACTAGTTATTTTCTTTACATTTAAATTTTATGCAAATTATATCACTTACAATTTTAAACCAGCAAAATTTTCGGGACTAAATGTGATATCACTTTTAGGTCTCAGAGTAGGTAAAGGTGTGCAACATCTTTAGGTGCTTATTATGATGCAGATTTATGGCTGGCTAGTTCGTTTGACTATTAAACCTATTCTTGAACCAATTTTTAAAAAGTTTTGGATGCGTTTCTTGATAAAAGCAGGGTAAACATTTGCCTGACATTCAAAATATAATAATTATAAGTCTTTAATGTTTATATAAATATTTATAGAATGTCACACTCCAACTACCAGATTTACACTGGTCAATAAACTAATAATTTAAATTGTACGGCTTTTGCCTAATTCAGCAAATAGCAAATAATAGTTACAATGGGACCTAGTTTTGCCTCACAAAATATGAATTATTAATTAACTGCGTTAATATAAGACATTGTACCATTATAATGTATTATATAAATTCGTCTCATATTGTTATCACAATATATTAAAAGGTAGGAAGAACATCTATAAACTAGTAATTCATGATTTTTATTAGACGCCCCAAGATCTACTTCTGTCTACACTGTTATGTGCGCCTCCTATAAAATATAAATTTAAGAAAAAATCAAAATAGGACAATAATAATAATAAATATATCGATCATTAAACTAAGTGATCAGAAGATTATTATAAAGCAAAATGAAATATATATATATAGAATTGTATTAAAAATATGCTGACATCATTCCTACGTGTATGAATTTGCAAAACATTATTCGCACTGTGAAGGAGGCGCTTTTGACTTGTTTAAAATGTTAAAACACAAATATAAACTAAAAAAAAGCGTTGCCATATTTACTGTCAATGATGAAACTCTATAACTGTGACTTTATGCATTGTCCAGTATTGGCATTTCAAACATCATGATCTTAAGTACGGTTATTTAATCAAACTCTATTAATAATCAAAACGTTGGCTAAGACATACAGTAATAATTTATTTACAGCGTCAACAAATATTTACCGTCAAATAATAAGACGTTTTTCTGGCAATGCTCTTTTTTATGAATAACTTAAATTTTATCGTTTTATTGTGAAAAAAAAGAAACACAAATACAAGAATGGTTTTTGCCTCAGATTTCCCGAGACTTCTGTTTCGACGCATTATGTTTTTATATTCTAGCAAAACAGAGTTCCTTATAAATATTTTAAAAGTCGTTTAACATAAAGAGATTCTTAGATATTTTATTATCACTGTCAGCACCATTTTATGTAATAAGCTAAATTACATTTTTTATAGTAATAATATTAAGAATAATCTATATAGAAATTGAATAATAGTTTTCCACTTCGACGAAGCTTATATTGTAGATTTAAAATTCCGCATTTGAATGACCAAATTTATGCTTATTTCATATAACATAATACTAGAAAGAGACTTTAATAAATATATAATATATTGGTTTTTCGTAGCCTTTGGTGGTAATTAATTTTACAAGGTGGCAGCTACTGACTAGTTTTGATTATTAAGAATGTTGGTAATAAACCACCCATTAAAGGTTTGTGTACAAATGTACCTTAGGCATAAAAGTAACACCATAATAGGTGAAATAAGAACTTTTTGACAACATGATCATGCCCTGTTATTATCAATTGAAGTAACCGTCTTTTTGCAAAAGCGTTGAAAGCCGATTTTCATGCATAAAACTATTGAAACAACAACGCAAAAAATTATGGTAAAAACCCTCAATTTTTATAATAATATGTTTATTACAATAATACAAATAATGTAAAGTTTAATGTGTGAACTAAAAGTTATTAAGATTATGCAAGTACAATAAGATACACAGAAAGAATGTTCCTTTGTTTAATCCGATTGATTGATTATAACCTGTAACCTAAAACAAATAGTTAAAATTATTTGTGAAAATTGATGTTAAAACAGCTGAATTTCAACGCTTTTGTACTTAATATAAAAATATGTATTTATTTCAATTAATTTTATGTAATTGTTGTTTAATAAAGATCCTCTATATTGATTTTTATATTTGTTACATGCATTTAATTATTTTGTAATTGAAATTGTTACGATATCGATAAATTGAATAAACTAAATAATAGTCTTATTTGTTTTTGTCAAAGTTCCATCATTTTTCTCCGTTTCGTTCTGTTTCCAAGTATTTTTGTGCAATAGAACGAATGGTCGCTACGTGACATAGGGTGACTACAAATAGTAACCAATCTAGGTAGATCAAGGATCTAAAGTTACATCGAACATCAAAGTTACATAGAAGCACAAAGTTTATAATACCAGATTAAACATGCTTTATAATAATAGTCATGACTATGAATTTCAAACCGCGTTTTCAACTAGTAGGCATAGACTATGACTGGGTCTGATGGAGGTGGAACATTTGGACGTCCACACAATTTCAAAATTTAATGAATTATGGTGTAATCAATATTTAGGGTAAACTATAAAACTATTTCGGGTCGTAGACCTAAGGCTTAAAACAAAATTGTACAGCTTTGAGATGAGGTGAAGTGAAACTAAAATTTAAGGGTTAGTCCATCTTTTCCCCTTGGAATATAATCCCCAGAGGGTAGAGATGTCCAAGTATAAAAATCCTTGTGAAAATTCTAACAACGTTCTAGTTTTGTACAGTCGTGCCGACAGCAATTTATATTAAGAAGATTAAGTCCGTATGCTTTGTTTTTGCTCTGTTAGAGCCGTGAGTTGTCGTACTTAAGTACTAAGGTATTTTAAATAAATTAAATTCATTTTTTTCCTCTTATTTGAGATTGTGGCACTTCTTTATCATTAATTTTATCGAAACATTTAAACGCTTTGTTAGAATGCTTGGCAGAATTTTTAAGGTGACTTTATCAATGTTGCTGAGATTGTAGCTGTCACCTGTCGCTGTCAATGTCAAATTAAATAAAAGTAACAAAGTGGTGTTGTAAAATTCGGAAATAAGTAAATATTTGTTATTTTTCAAATTTATTCCTATTAAAAATCCTAAAGAAGTGAGATAATTTGTAATCACATAATAGCTGACAATGCCTAGTCAATATGAAGAAGAACGTGTTTGGGAGGGATCAAACCACAATCAGTACGAAGTTCGTAATTTATTTAACTTGCTGCAAATTTACCTGTACATTTTTATATTAAATACTATAAAGTAATCATTTCATTTAGGAAGAAGGTGGAGAAGATGTTATTGACAATCCGGAAGAAGTGCTTCAAGAATGTTTGGAAAAGTTTAAAACACCCGACTACATCATGGAACCCGGCATATTTGGCCAGCTAAAACGGTACTTTCAAGCTGGAGGGAATCCTGAGCAAGTTATTGAACAATTATCAATAAATTATAACGGCGTAGCTCAAATGGCAAATTTGTTAGCTGAATGGCTTATTCTTGGTGGTAAGTCTTGAAAAGAATTTTTGTTTATTTAATCAACCAATTGAGATATCTTGTCGTGATAGTGTTTTTCATTGTTAATAATACTAATTACATACATGTTGTAGGTGTCAAAGTGACGGAAGTACAAGCCATGGTGGAAAATCACCTTAAGGATATGATTTTAAAGACATTTGATCCCAAAAAAGCTGACACAATTTTCACTGAAGAAGGTGAAGTAAGTATTTTATTAGATATGACTATATTTTAATTATGATTCAAATATAAGCAATAACAAATTTAAACATGTCAGCTGTTTTTTACCAAGGTATTATGATGTTACAAATATGCAAATAACAGATGCATACTTCAATTATTGCATTATGGGGTATAAAATCAAAAAGTGACAACTAACATGAACAATTATACTGAGATTTGTAAAACAAAAACCTATTATGTCAATAGAGAGGGAAAAGGGATAGAAAGCATAAGGGTCACAATTCTGCTCCTAATTTTGGAATTTTGGCAATCTTTGCTTCTTGTATTCCATCTATATCTGTCTACATGAATACAATTGTTTTCAGACACCAGCATGGTTAACAGAAATGATTGAACATCCAACATGGAGGTCTTTAATATATAGGCTGGCTGAAGAATATCCTGATTGCCTCATGTTGAATTTTACTATTAAGGTAATTTTTTTTTATCTTGAATAATTCAAAAGTAAAGCAAAACCTCTGCTGCTGCTCAGCTCTTTGGGACTGAAACTTTTGATTTATATAATGTTGGTATACTCTTTCAATATTACAAGTAATTCTTTGTATTAATTCCACAGCTTATATCAGATGCTGGTTTCCAAGGAGAAATCACCAGCATATCAACTGCTGCACAACAAATAGAAGTGTTTTCAAGAGTTCTCAAATCGTCTATTGTGGGATTTCTTCAGAGTTCTGATGACTGGCAGAATAGTGTAAATGAATGTGCTGTATGTTGCTTTCTCTTATTTTTTTCAATTACAATATATCTAAATTGTTATGTTGTGTAGTTCAAGATAAGCATAATGTTGTCTACATTGTCAATATTGACTGATATTTTTCATTTCTAGAAAATGGTTTGCCATGGAGCTCAAACATATGTGTACAGCCAAGTTATTGTTCACATTTTATCACAAGAGCCAAGAGGTGGGGCAATTATGAAGAGACTGGCACAAGAGATTACTCGGTGTGCACAACAAAGGTAATATAATAAAAGGTTGTATATTAGAATCCCATGGCATATGTTTGATTCCTATATTTATTTGGTAACTTTACAATGGTTCGTCATATCTTGTTGAGATTTGACTTGGGTATAAAATATAGTGTTTTTACAGCGGTCATGATGTAACTCCAATCACCCTAGCGCTGACACCAGGCGAGTCATGGCGAGGCGCACGCACTGCGCTTGCCGCCATGTTGTCACGTGATGCACTCAACCCTGCTGATATATCGGTACTATTCCGCGCCTACACGCAACCTGAACCGCCGCCGGTGCATTTGTTAAGAATACCACAGTTTCTAGGTACTTGATTTTTTTTTCTTAAATACTCAAAAACCTAATATTCCTGTGCTTGACTGACTTAGAAATAAATGATAATTTGAAATCCAAATTTTTAATTTTAATTATCAAACCATTATCAATAAAGAAACTTGTTTTCCAGAACTGCTTGTGGACTCCTTGTTTAAATCAGGTTCCAAGTTAAATCCTGAGCACAAATCAAAGTATATGTATTTACTAGCATATGCTACAAGTGTTTGTGAAGGAGTGACTCCGGGCAGACCTATTAAAGAGGAGTTGAAAGCCACAGTACAAGCAATTGAAAAGATACACACAGTATGTAGCAGTTCTGCTAGCTCAAGTGAACTTATTGCAGAATTACCTACACTGTATCATTGTATCAGGTAAAATTGTCTTCTTTCTTTTATATTATTGACTGTTGAATTTTTATCTAATCAAAATTACGAAAACCATCATATTAAATAATTAGTAGTAAAATCTGATACCTATTCAAACTATAAGTTAGTTTGACTTTTAGCTTTGGTTAAATACAATATATATCAGAAAGTGGCTTAGGTTGTATGTGTATCAACTTTGCGGAATTTCATTATTACATGTTGATCGTGGTAACAAAACAATGCAAAACAAACTGTACTTAAATTTCTAATGCTATTAGTCTATTCTTTGATACTTATATTACTATTGTCTACAGGCCATTTTATCTTACTTTGTAACAGATTTCCCGTTGTTGGAATGGGTGTTCTTGTGTGGGTAGAATGTGTTGTGACAGAACCTTCCTACTTCAAGCTGTGCACAGAACATTGTCCTGTACACTTGGCATTGTTAGATGAAGTGGCTTCCTGCCATCAATTACTACATCACAGGCTATTGAGATTGCTCATACAACTTTTTGAATCCCCACAAGATGAACTGGAAATTTTAGTACAGGTAGGTTCATTTTTGTTCGGTTGCAGGTAAAAAACCATTGAATGAAAAATTATTATTTATTACTTCTATATAAGGCATTTAACGCAGACAAAAAATGGGCTTAAGTAATTTCCCCACACATAAGCTTCCCTCTTCTATATGTATGCAATATACTTAACAAAAGAAATAATATTTACATATATATTACAGTTGGAATTGAAGAAAATGCTTCTCGATCGAATGGTTAATTTGCTGAGCCGCGGCTGCGTAGTGCCCGTGCTCAGATACATCAAACAGTGTTGGCAGCGTGGTGATACTGATATATCACTAATAAGATATTTCATTACAGAGGTAAATTCACCTACATCAAGTGAAAGGAGTCTGAAAATTGTAATACCAAAAATAATTTCATGACTATTCGTAGGTTCTCGATGCAATAGCGCCGCCTTATACACAAGAATTTGTACAATTAGTTCTTCCTATGGTCGAAAATGAGGAAATCACTGGAACTATGCGAGCAGAAGGCGAAAATGACCCCGTGTCAGAGTTTATAGGTATTGTTCCTTATTATATATTAATATTAATTTTTAATTTTAAGCATATCTAATGTGACTTTTTTATTTTCAGTTCACTGTAAGGCGCATTATGTAGTAACATAATTGAATTGCTGCCGAAAATAATACTATTTAAATAAATTATGTATGTATTTTATTTCATCAAAATGCTAAAATCCCCTATTAGCTTTTCTTTCATAATATCTCTTGAGAGCTTGTTCAAACACTTCTCCTACAGTACGTTTTTTCCATATATCAATTTTCTTAACAACTGGCGGCTCGAGTTTATCCTTAACTTGTTCATTAGTTTCTTCACTCTTTACAGTTTTAACTTCCTTTTCTGGAGAAGTATCCTGTTTACTAATGTCTTTTTGTTTTGCAGATTTTTCTTCATCATTTTTGCTCTTATCATTTTCTTCATCACTTGAATCATCATCAATAGAAAAGTCTGAATCTGCGTCAATGTTGGTATCAATTTGCTTAGATTTCTTTGAATTCCTAATTTCTTCAAGATTATATCTATTAATTTCTTCATCAGAATCATCAATCTCCCCTTCAGACATATTTTTGTGATCTGAGGACTTTCTTTTTCTGTAATTCCTCTTTTTACTTGTATGTGTTTTATCAATATTGCTGACCTTGATTTCGGATTTTTCATCTTCAACCTTCACATCACTACTTTGTACTTTTTCATCTTTAATATCTGGTTTGTCGGTTCCTAACTTTTGCTCATATAAATGCCGATAGAAACCACCTGAAAATAAACATCGAAAGTTATTAGAACATATTCCTGTCCATATCATAATTCAGTCCTTGCCTTATTTTTCAAAGCAATAGTAAACAGTCTATGTCATTTTAAGCATTAACAATTACCTAGATCTTTTTGTTTAGTTACATCTCCTATACTCTCCAAATATTCTTCATATTTCTCTTTTTCTTCCTCCTTTCTCAATTCTTCTAATTTCTGTTTATAAGCCGAAGTCACAAAAACTTCTTTGTCTGCAAACTCATCTCCCTCTTTTTCCCTTTCTTTTTGTATCTGAAACACAAAAATGTATTGTTATAAGGCAATTACTACTTAATACTTTGTTGTATTTTTAAGACATTATAACAAATACATAATAGTAGATATTTAATTTTAATCAAATCAACCCATTAGCCATGCAAAATATGTGCCAAAAGCAAAAAATCTTGGTATGTTAACTTAGTATTATATATATTATATAAGTATAATTACTTGTCTTTCTAATCGCCGTTCATTTTCAATCTTTCTCTTGTTTGCCGCTTTCATCAAATTGTCTATATATTTTGGTTTCTTTTGTTCTTTACTCTTTTCTTTTTTCTCCTCCTTTTTACTTATCATAGAGTCATATATTTCATCATACTGGTACACAGTAGGATCTTCATTTATAGCTTTTTCCTGTGATATTTTACTCTGAAAGATTAAAAATAATTCTTTACTATGCACAGTTAATACATAAAAAAGGAAAATTTATGTCAAAACTATGAAAATAACATTAATAGGCTATTTCCATTAGAAATATTAAAATGTATGTAAATATTTTAAGTGTACTACATTTTTCGTTATTGAAATTAATGGGTATAAAATGTTTTAGTACAATAGTATTAGAATAACAAGTGATAGCAGATCAGTTTGAAAACACTTTTTGATAGTATTGATAGCATAGATAATTGATAGCACTTTTTATGAAATTAATGTAAATATGAAACACAGTTGACAGTAAAATAATTAATACCTGTCTATTTATGTTATCACTCGGTCTTAAAAGAACTAGTTTTTTCTTAGGTTCTTCATCAGAATCTGTGTCATCACCAAAAACATTACGAGTAGCCTGAAAGGTGGGTTGTTTAATTTTAGATTTTTCTGATAAAATCAGACCATATCTGTAAAGAAAAGATTTTTGCGTAAGTTGATTGATTAATTAATAAAAAGTATATAATACTTAACAACATATGAGAATATTAAAACACGCACTTTTTGTTACTATCCATGACTTATTCAACTTAATTATCTACATACGTAAACTAGTACCAAACAACATCGACTTGAGATTAAATTCGATTTAACTTTAGTCTGAAATGTGTATACAAAATCGTATACAGTAAATAAGAAATGCTATACAAAATAAAAATGGTAAATGTCACTGTTACACAAATGTATCCGTGAGTGACGGTTAATTTCTTATAATTTTATGACCTGGTAACGTAGACCTTTAGGTCATAGTGACAGCATACTCTTTGGTGACAGTTAAAAGGTAGTGTAGTCAAAGAGTAAATAAAGTCATCTTTGCTGTGATAGACAGGACATAATTTTTTATTTAAAGTTTTGGAAAACATAAGAATTCATTTTTACAGGATTATGCAAATGAATTAAATATTCTTAACATTAAAAACAGTTTTATTTTACTAACTTTACTACGAAATTATAGATATTTCAACAAGTTTCTTGAATCTTTACTTTTTGAATATTTCTTTTTGTATAAATATACAATATTGCTCGACAGTTCGGGAAGAGTTCATATTTGGTTTTTACAATGCCTCTTGCAATTCTTTTGGCGACAGGTTCTTGTTCGAGCATCATTTGCAAAGCCTTTTCTTCATTGATTTTGTTAAGTTCATCCGCCCTTATTTTAAGGTCGCACCTGTCAGCTCCATCTACCTGAAATGATATTTCCTAATTAATTAATTTTTAGTATTTAGTTTGTATTAATGTATCATTTATCCTAATATATACCAAATATATATTGATCCTTGAATTTCAAATGGCATATGAACGCTATTTCGGTTTTATTTTTAAATAGAAAGAGAAGGATGACAATTTCTAGAAATAAAAGTGTTACCACTGTTGAGATTCGCCGCAAAAGCTTTCCTAGAGTTTAATAAATGATTAAAAATATACCTTGCATAGAAATGACAGTTCAAAATTGTTGTCCACCTGCGGCCACTGTTGCTGTAATACACTTTTCTGCCAGTCAATTATAGCTGTGTTATTGTTTAATCTGTTAGGCGCCGATAAAAATCCTGCCCACAATTCTGAGCAAAAATGTGGCGTGACCGGTGTCAACATTATAATTAATGATGCAAGTGCTAGTTCATACTCCTTACTGTTAGCTATTACTTCTGCTGGTACATTGTTCTGCAAAATTAATTATTACAATAACTCCATAACAGTTTTTTTTAAATGAACAAAACGGCGCACACACTGAGATTTGACAGGCATATACACATCAACTATTCTATTAAATAATGATCTTTCATAATGTTATACTTACTCGTAATACATTTGTCAAGCTCTGAAATCTTGAGATTCCAACACTGAGTTTTTGGGTGTATTTGAAGTGATATGTTGCAGTTGCATTAAAATAGTTTCTTGCATTCCAAATTTTTGTATCCAAATCTTCCATTTCTTTTGACATATAGTTTTGCCTAATATCTGGATTATTTCTGTACTTAAGAAAATCCCTAATAGTTATCCATAAGCGGTGTTGCCAGTTTAATACACCTGGAAGAGCTGCAATAAAGCATATTGGTTACATTAATTAATAAAGTAGATTAAAAGAGACAATACAATTTTTAAATGTTAAAAACACATACTTGCATCAGACCAATGTCTACTTGTAGCAGGGGGCACATCAGCCAGCATTAGTAGCCGTGTTGTGTCACATCCATAGCTGGTCAGTAACCGTTTAGGGTTTTCACCATTATATTTAGATTTACTCATTTTCTCCCATTGAACTAAAACAGGTTCACCAGTACTTTTTTCTTTGTACTCTTTACCTACTTTTTCAACATCTTCTGGGGGTATATACTTTCCAGATGCTTTGATTTTGTAACTTTGTCCCATAATCATCCCTTGAACCAGAAGTTTCTTGAAAGGTTCTGGCTCCATGGTCCATCCAAGAGAATGTAGAAAATAACTCATAAACCGAGCATAATATAAGTGCAAAACTGCATGTTCTTTACCACCAATGTAACAATGAACAGGGGTAAAATCTTTAATTTTTTCTTTACTGAATGGCATATTTATGTTGTCATGATCCAGAAATCGATAAAAGTACCAAGAAGAATCAACAAATGTATCCATTGTGTCTGTTTCCCTTGTTGCAGTACCTGAACATTTTGGACATTGACATGTCATCCAATCTTTCATATTCTTTAATGACGGGGACCCAAATTCAAGTGATTCATTCTCAGGTAATGTTATTGGAAGATCATTATAGGGTACAGGAACTATGCCACATTTAGGACAATGAATAATTGGTATAGGAGTGCCCCAATACCTTTGTCTAGATATCAACCAATCTTTAAGCTTAGAACTAACAAAATGTCCTCCAACATTTACACTTAAAGCTATATCTATTGCTTTTTGATTTTCATTGTCTATATTTATGTTTTTAGTTGCTTGTTCAAAAGAAATTCCAAGATCTAGAGATATTTTTCTATCTTCAAAATCTATAGAAGGACATGCTATATATACTTCCTGTCCCTCAGGATAATTGACATTGTTGGTAACATATATTGGCATTTCACAATTTGTTACTGGATTAATACATTTGATTATTAAACTTTTGTCTTTTAGGTATTCATCTAGAATAATATTATCTTTTTGCATAGTTAAGAATTCCCCATGTAGGAGCTTGTATGGTTCCGAGGTCCACACATCAAAAGATTTTACAATATCACCTACTGTGACTTTAAATGTTACTGAAATCCCATTGCATTCTCCAATCCAATGTTTTTGAAGGTTGATGATGTCCTTCCAGTTCTCTAAATTTTTGTTATTCAGACCATCATACAGCTGTTTAGCATATTTTGTTGTTTTGATAAACCACTGTGTAAGAACCTTTTTTTCAACTTTAGCACCTGATCTCCATGAACAGCCATTATCATCTACTTGTTCATCTGCTAACACTGTTTTGTCTACTGGATCCCAGTTCACCTTTGCCTGCAAAAAAACAAGAACAATTATTTCTGGCCTATATTAGAAAAGTGGTCTACATAAATGCATATATCTAGGCCACAACAAGATATGAATGAATATAATAAAACAAAAAAATGTAGTAGTAACACTTGCCTTACTTTGGTAAGCTAAGCCATTTTCAAATAATTTTAGAAATATGTATTGTGTCCATTTGTAATAGCTGGGGTCACATGTGCTTATTTCCTTATCCCAATCAAAGTTAAAGCCTAAATCAAAGAGTTGTTCTTTCATTGTAGAAATATTAGACTTTGTCCAGTTCTGTGGAGGAATGTTACGTTCTAAGGCTGCATTTTCTGCAGGTAAACCAAATGCATCCCATCCTATTGGATGTACAACATTTTTTCCATTCATTCGATGAAACTTTGCAATTGTATCGGATATAGAATATACTCGTACATGGCCCATGTGCAAATTCCCAGATGGATAGGGAAACATTGGCAGCACATAATATGGTGCATCATTAACATTACTGTTTTTACTTTGAACATTTTTACACCAATGCTTTTCTATTTTTAACTTAGTTTCTGTTGAGATATCTTCGTTCTGTAATAAAAATACAGAAAATATTAATTTAAGGATAAATGGGTAGAGGTTAATTTGGGAACTTTTTATATTAGCTATAGAAATAAATATTTGCTTATTTATCCGTACCCACAGCCCAAGACTACCATTGAACCTTTTGCAAATTTTTAATGATCCACGCCGGAGATTTAATACACATCCTGGAATCCTCATCTTATATGGAAAACGAAGACGACTTAGAGATACTTGCATTTAATAATTGTATAGGTTTATATCAATTTAACGCATTCTAAAGTTAGTGTATGAATAAGTATGAACGTAAAAATTATATTTATTTTGCATATTATTACCACCAAATGCTGGAACTCAAATTACAAAAAAATATCAATATTCAATGACATTGACAGGAAAGACAAATGTCAGAGTCGTCACTGTTACTGTCGTTATCTGTCAACTGTCATGTAGGTATTTTTAACTGTCCATGGATTTTATTTACTCTTTGCGATACACTCCATGACAAACCATAGACGATGAATCAGACACCAAATTTATCTCCTATTTTATTTGCATTGTATTGCATTGTTCTGCATCATTCGATGTAATTGCGTTATTTCATTATAATCAGATCGTATTCTGGATCTGATTGAAGTTAAACTATAATAAGACAGTAGGCCTTAGTTGCCTCATTGCACCCATTTTTAAAAGTTAATTCGCGATGGCTAAACCAAAAACAGAAGATGCTTCTGAAGAAGCGAAGAAAATCGTCGATGACGCAAAAAATTTTATCGAAAAAGCTATAGGAGATATTGGAAAAACTTCTGCAACAAAACAACTTATTTTGGGAACTGCGTCAGGATGGTACACGATTTTTAATTATATGCCTTTTCTCCTTTACTCGCTATACAGTGACTAATGCCGCAAATCGTATTTTTAGGATTACCGGTTTTATAACAATGAAAATCGGTAAATTTGCTGCTGTTGGAATTGGTGGTGGTGTCATATTGTTGCATATCGCCAGCCAAAAAGGCTACATTGATATCAACTGGGATAAAATCAATAAAAAAGTAGACAAAATCAGCGACAAAATTGAGAAAGAAGCCACAGGAAAATCTCCAGATTGGTTTGAAAAAGTAAGACAAAAGATATATTTTTTTACTTATTTGGCATATGTCTTGGCCGGTTTAAATAAAATTTCTTTAAAACAGCCTGGTTTCAGGGTATTGCATGGGCTTTCATCATAAATTTATATTTTTTGCAAAAGTTCTTTTTGTTGCAGGTAATAACATTTGTCAAAGATAATTCCTATTATTCAGCTGGCTTTACTGGTGGATTCTTTTTTGGAATAGCATCATCATGAAATTTAAAATTTGTAATTAATTTAACAGTGAGTTTAAAATTTTATTAAGCCGGTCAAGTCGAAAACTTATTGCATTTCTCCATAAAATATATTTAGATATGAAGTGTATATAATTTTTTAACAAATTGTAAAGGTTTTCAACAATTGAAAAAAAGTGTCTTAAGAATTAGACCTATATTCTAAGTATGGGGCAGCAATGCAATAACATAAATATTTAAATAATTCTATTACAGGTAGAGAGATTTGTGGATCGTAAAATTGACAAAGCTGAAGATTTGTTAAAGAAAAAAGAGAAAAAGGCAAAGAAATGGTTTAACAATTTCACTGGCGATGAACACTACAAAGCAACTGAAACGCACATATTTTTAACATCCTTTGTTGCTGGCATGGCCATTGGCCTTCTTTGTGGAAAATAAATATTCATTTAGTACACTCATTAAACAATTTATCCTTACAGTAGATCTGTTTAACTTTATAATTAGATTTGTGATCTATGTAGTATGCATAAGAAATGTAATTGATTTAAAATATATGTTACTTTCAGTATTGTTAATCTTACTAATTGTGCAATAAATACAACTTATAATCTGTGGTTGTTTATTATGTATGTGTTTTAGTATAATTCATAATAATTTTAGTATAATATTGTGGTCAGTGTTTTGATGTTTATCTGCCACAAAGTCACCTATAAAAATAAACCATGTATACAATAAAATTATATGAAAATTTAGTTTTTATTGTTAATGACTGTGTTAAATAATGCCTATTTTTATAATTAAAAAAAAACTTATAACCCCAAACACCCGTCATTGATTATTACTTACTAATCTTCATGTTGTGCAATCAATGTAAAATACTATATTTTAGTTACTTTGCAATATTAAGATAACTCAATTATGTATTTGTCCATAAGTGTAACGCAAACAGTTGTTTTCTTCAACAATCAACCTTATCAAAATGCTGGTGACCTCCAAGTGAATGCCAGTCTTTTCAATTGACAATTACATTTATATGATAAAGGTTAACAACTTTATAAGACAATTTTTATGTTTAAGTCTCCTTGCATTCTCTGTTGGAATATTGTTGACAGGTAGGAGGCTATTCAAGGATGGGAATTTACCACATCAATAATTTAGTTGTAATATAAAATGTTTGAAGTATGAATAAAATATGACCCATAAATGTTGCAGTACACATAGTAGAAATAATTATTTACAACAGTTCTCATTCCATTTCTTTATTAGTGATATAAAATTTATACAGCTCTTTAGGCTCCAAGCTTTCCAAAAAGGTTCTGTAAGATCTTATGTAATTTCTTTTTATGGTAAGAACAGCACTCTGGTAATGTCTCTTCTTGTAATCTGGTAAAGATTCCCAGTTTGTACCATTTTCAGCTTCAGGTCCCAGCAATAAAAATAGTTCTTTGCCAGACCTATATGACAGAATAATATGTATTAAATCATATAAAATATACAAAACTGTTTTTAACTAACATGGCAAAAACATGTTCAAAAGAATGCAAATTTTCATTAAAATGGCTCTACAAAGAGGTAGATATTCAATGATAATAACCAAATAAATAAAACTTACATGAACTGAGTTAAAGGGAAGTAGATACACCTAGTACTACAGAGATTGGATTTTTTTATTGCTGATCAAGTAATGGATTTGTGACAATAATCACAGTAGTACATACATTACCCTTGGTGGAATTGGTTCAGGTAGTTTTTCTTGCATGAAAAATTGATCTTGAGTTATATTACTTTTTTCATTTATAAGACTTGAAACTTGTTGATCTAGTGAAAAACTGATATCTGACCTGAAATAACATTTATTTTAAATAAATTATGGGTGTGATAATATTATAAATGGAAGAGTTTTGATTGTTTGAGACAAACTTAAAAAAAATTTTTTTGCCAAATCTGTAACTGAACTAGTTAAATAACATACTTAATGCCCTACTTTTTAATAAACAAATTAACTGAACAATAAATAAAGTTTTTGTAATTTAATGTATTACTTAACTTACATTTTGTTATCATCTTTATCAACATTAGTAATTGTGCTTGTATTTTGTGGTATATTTTCCCGTACACTTTCATTAAAACTTATTTCAACCCGATTTTGTCCAAGAATGTCACTATTATTGCTGTTTTCAGGTCTGGAACTATTAAAAAATACATGATAATTATAAGTGTGCCCTATATATAACTGTAGTTACAATAGATGCAAGTTGCATATTGCACTCTGATAATGTTTCATATAATTTAAATTTTTATTTAAACTGCATAATCACAAATATTTAACTATTATCTACAATAGGAGGTAGTAAAAGTTGACTTACTGATTTTGATTTTTTTTTCTAAGATAAGGCTTTACTTTTTTAAGGGAAGCTGCAATTTTTTGCTTATGATCTGCTATAACTTCATTGTGTTTAGAAATGAATACCTGTTTTTCATCATCATTAAGCGAAAGCCAAGATTTGGTTGCCTCTTTTAAAAGTTTATGATTCTAAAAACACGTTTTAAGTAAATTCATCTTTATCAGGCTTTAATGGATTAAAAAATTGTACGTAAGTCATACCTTTTTAACATTTTTGTCCAACGAGTGTCGTTTATTACAATAAAAATGAATATATAAATGTAATGGCGATCGAGGAATGGGTTCAATATTCTCCATTTTACTATAATTCGGTCCAATAATTATTTTAAGCTTTACAGCTAGATCTGATGTAAAAAATCAAAATATCTGTTAAGTTAACCCACAAAATAGTAAACTTGGATATAATAAGAATTGTATTTGTAATCTTTAATGGAATAATTTAGAAAAATTCTGAAACGTACCAAGCCACATAAATGGATAAAATTTATGAAAAAAGAATACGACGATAAACGAGCATTTTATTTATTTTCTTTAAGTTGTTGTTTTTATTATTCACTCAAAAGAGCAGGCAAAGGAACTAAGCCATACAGCCTTGTCTTTTTTATTTATTTTCTTTAAGAATCTGATAATATAGTGGCGACATAGACATTTGACAGGTTGAGTCAGCCTGATTGACAATAAAAATAAAAAGCAAAAAGCTAACATTAAAGACAAACTTTCTTGCAGTCAAATCATAAGTCTATTAATGTTATTTCTCAAAACCAAAACTATACATCTACCCGTTATATAGTATAGTAAATCCATGGCCGTTGAAATTATCTCAAAGTGCTCGCCTCTTTCATTATATTTTAAACTTCAGATTTCAGTTCATTGTATTGTTTCAATAATTATTCATATTCCGTACAGTAAAACTTTCCTATTCCTACTTTATAATCTGCTGATTTTTTTTAAAAATGACATTGACATATATCAGGTGTCACTTAATAGCTTGATAGGAAATACTAGGTGTTAATGAAAATAAAAATAAATAAACATTTAATGAACATAAAAGAATAGTAATAATATCAGCAAATAAATACACAACATAGAATTGTAACATTCCAATTTTGTAATTGAGCATGATCATGCAATCTATAATGTAATTAAATTTACATCACAATAAATATTCTTATGTTTTTGTATAAAAATGGGAAAATGTTAAGACAAAAAAGATTTAATGAGATTAATCAATGTAAAATTCGATATGCAGGCTAAGAAGCGTTATATTTTACTTCTGCTTTCATGTAGCTTAATTATTTATGGCTACTTCAGTGGATTTCGTTTAAAAACTGAATTTGCACAAAAGAGTCGTCGTGATCAACTTCCTTCATTTGCAACTCTCGAAGAATTATACGAGGCCCCTTCTCGACAAAAAAGAAGCCCTCATGCCACAGTAAAATCATGTCGTATGGAGACATGCTTTGATTTTTCAAAATGTGGAGATGACCCTAAAGTATATGTTTATCCTACTGATGGCCCAGTCAGTGCTACATATCGCAAAGTATTATCAGTGCTCAGGGAATCAAGATATGCCACACGTGACCCAAATGAGGCATGTTTGTTTTTACCAGCCGTGGATACTTTGGATGCTGATCCTTTGTCACCGGAACATATACCTGATGTAGCTCAAAGGTTATCAAGGTTGCCTCATTGGAAGAATGGTCGTAATCATATTATATTCAACTTATACGCTGGCACCTGGCCTGATTATGCTGAGAATGCATTAGGTTTTGACCCAGGTGAAGCAATTTTGGCAAGAGCAAGTGCCTCAGAAACTATTTTTCGTGATGGCTTTGACATATCTTTGCCTTTGTTTCATAAAGAGCACCCCGAGAGAGGTGGTGCTGCACCTGCTGCAACTGCTAATCCCTTTCCAGCACCAAAGAGACATTTGCTAGCATTTAAAGGAAAACGATATGTGCATGGTATTGGAAGTGAGACAAGGAACTCATTATGGCATCTACATGATGGTAACAACCTTATATTGGTAACAACATGTCGACATGGAAAGTCCTGGAAAGACCTGAGGGATGAGAGGTGTGATGAAGACAACAGAGAATATGACAAGTAAGGATTAATCAAGTATAAACGTGACAGATGAATCAATAATAGTTTACATTTATATATATTATTATTACCATTTCTCTGATCAAGAGGGTGCAGAATATCAATAAAAATTCTGAAACTAATAACAGTTTTGTCTATTTGCTATTTAGCAGTATAAACATTTTTTTTTTCAGATTTGATTATGAGCAGTTGTTAGCAAATTCAACATTCTGCTTAGTTGCGAGGGGGCGGCGCCTCGGGTCTTACCGATTCTTAGAGGCGCTGGCCGCTGGCTGTGTTCCTGTATTATTAAGTAATGGTTGGAGGTTACCATTTGATGAACGTATTGATTGGCGACGCGCTGTAATATGGGCTGATGAGCGTCTTTTGCTACAGGTCAGGACTTCTTAAATTGCAAGATATAGCTAAAATATTGTGAAGGGAATTATTTATTTTATTTTATTATTACATTACATTACTCCAACTAATATACAATTAAATTGTTCATTTCAGGTGCCAGAGCTTGTGCGTTCAGTTCCTCCTGAACGTATACTTGCTTTGCGACAGCAAACGCAATTATTATGGCAACAGTACTTTTCTTCTATTGAGAAAATAGTTTTTACAACCGTAGAGGTAACTTGTTCTTATATCTTTGTATCTATTAATAGTCTATTGTGTCCTGACTTAGTGAATAACCTCGGCAATGTGCGGTGATGCACGGAGGGCAATTCGCGACTTGAGCGGCGGCTCGACTAAGTGAAGACCGGATCTGTGTTGCTCTGCAAAATTCCGAGGCACATACAAGGCTACGCGCTCAGTGTAACAAGAATATATATTTTTTAATGGAAATTATTTAAAAAATGATAATACAAATAATTTTCTTTCTTGCTACAGCTGTTATTTGAGCGGATTTTAGCGCATCGATCTTCGAGACAACGCGAGGCACTTATTTGGAATGCGTCACCTGGCGCTCTGGGCATTCTGGCCACGTACGGGGATTCCCGGGCACATTATCCTATAGCAGTAGCAGTGCCCGTGGCTCCCCCCGCGCCCGCGCCTCCGCCCATCCCCCTGCCTGTACCGTCCGTACCATCCACGTCACCGCCCCCAACGCCTGGAAACACTTATACTGCCCTGTTGTATGTCCAAACAACATCACCCGCGTTGCATAAACTACTCGCTAACATAGCTAGCAGTGAATACTGCGAAAAGGTAATTTAAGGATAATTCGAACGATGTGAAAGATTTAAGAGACTATGTGAGTAAAAGTATTATCTGACGATGATACAAATTAAGTTTCCTTTCAATCAATGAACAGGTAGTGTTGGTGTGGGACAGTGAACGCGCGGCCCCGACTCTCAAGTCGCTAGCGCGCATGGCGGGCGATGAACGTGAGCCGCTACCGGTGGTCGTTATCGATGCCACCACTCATTACCCCGGGTAAATTGAAACTTTGTAATTTAATGACACATTCCACTAAAAATGTTCTTATTGTTGAATTCGACCATTGGCACTCTTAAACTGATTTCAATAAATGCCTTTAATATATAGATATCATTTGTATAAGATGGCTTTTTTTCATAGGCTAATTTAATTGTTAATTTTATTTCGAGGAATAAATAAATATGAATGTTTCAGTGAAGGTGTATCGGCGAGATGGCAGCCGTTGTGGGCCGTCCCCACGGCAGCGGTCTTCTCATTAGACGGAGACGCGCCGCTGTTGGCTGAGGAGTTAGACTTCGCCTTCCGCGTGTGGCAGCACTTCCCAGAGCGCATAGTGGGCTACCCAGCTAGAAGTCATTACTGGGATGAGGCCAAGGTAACCTATTTACTGTTTTATGAGCAGCGAGGGACCTTAAAAAGTAGCCTTTCTTCGAGTAATAATCCCATCTAAGCCTTCCAGCCGTTTCGGATATTACTCGGAACAAACGCGGACTTGCAGACAGACATATGAAAATTTAAAAAATTAGACTCGCCATAGGCAACGAAAATACATTATGTCGGCGAAATGTAATTCTTTTTTTCGATATAACATACAAACACTAAAATATCATTCATTGTACAGATAGATCCCGCGTCGTCATTCTCACCTTTCCAGCCATTTCCAATAAGAAAAGGATTGGGGGGTCAATTTGTTATTATATCAATACGAAGCGGCGGAACACCATGTTAAATATTAAACAAAATATTATAAAATTATTTTGTTTCACAATGTTAGGGTGCATGGGGCTATAGCAGTAGATGGGGCGGTGCGTATTCCATGGTGCTGCCGGGCGCAGCGCTGGTGCACCGCGCGGCGCTCGCGCTGTACGGTGCCGGCGCGCCCGCGCTGCGCCTGGCCGTGCGGCGCGCGCGCAACTGCGAGGACATCCTGCTCAACTGCCTCGTCGCGCACCTCACGCGCCGCCCGCCGCTCAAGCTGGCGCAGCGACGACGTTACAAGCCTCCGCACCACAGATACAGGTTCATATACACATACAAACATTTATAAAGTTTAATACAACTCAAGTGGGTCTACATACATACAACAGTGAGCCGCTAAATAAAAATGTGACTGAACATGATGTACACATACATACTTATGACGATAATAAATCATACATGTTAATCTAAAATACAGTGTATGAAATAAAAGTGAACGAATAAATCGCTTATAGTTTACTTAACTAAGCAATTAGTCAATTAGTAAATATTTTATCGCAATATTTCACTTTCTGCCGCAATTAAGAGTCCTTAAATGGTTACTAAGGATTATGCTTAGCTTAGATTTCTCCTACTGTGCACTTTGGGGTGCTGTGAAGGTGTGAGTGCGGCAAGTGATATATGTGAGGGATCTTTGCAATAAAACTATTATTTCCTCACATTTCCAGGTTCTTTATTCATGTTTTCCTTTACTAATCAATAGTGATAAATACTCAGTCTTAAATCTCTTTCTAAAATCTTCTCTTAATTGTTGTAGATACTTGTATCTAATGTTCAAATTATTATGATCAACTTGATCTAAGTCCGGTGTATCGTTAGACGGTAATCCATGCAGGAACATCATTGGCGTTAACGGTCTAACGTCTCCCATTTCCACATAAGTAAGCGGTCGACTGTTTATGACTGCCTCACAGTCGCACAATATCGTAGATAGCTCAATCCAATTAACCGATGTTCTGCCCAATATCCTTCTGAGCATGTCTTTCACTAACCTTATCATTCGCTCCCACCACCCTCCCCACCAGGGAGCTGCTGGAGCTGAAAACTTCCGTTGGATATTGTAAGAGCTTGTTTCTTCTTCTAACTCTTTCCAATTTACTTCCTTGAACTGGGCCTTGTAGTGTCCACCCCAGTTTTGTTGGTATTGCTACTAAATTGTCATCTAACCGAATGAAGTTTTCTTTAATAATGTAACCTAATTGATCCGATCCAATTAATATACTAATATCTTTGATACTTTCCGCTGCGTCAGTTAACCAGATCTGATGCCTCCTCAAGTTTTCTATCAGCTTTGGGTCTTGCACTTTGGGTAAACTTCCGCAAAGCACATCTTGTTCTAATGCTGTCATAGTAGTATGAAACTTATCATCTAAACTACTTACTCTAAACTTGAAGACTTTATGTATTTTTGCTGGTTTCTTCACACCGCTAAATAGCGAGTGGCTGAGGTTCTCGTTGCCTGTTACCTGAAGTCCAAGATCTTCTGCCAGCTCCCTCTTTATATATGTCCTCTGTGAACCAGAATCTAGAAGTATTCTTATTTTCTTCTCTTGTTTACCATTAGAAACTTTGACTACTAGCGTCTGTAACAAGGTAGTTATGTCATTACTTATGAAACTATTGTTTACTTCCTTATTGTTTTCACAATGTTTTTCTGTTGTGTTCTGCTCACAGATCTTCGGTTGTGCGTGGAGCTTTGGACATAAGATAATAACATGCCTCTTGGTACAATACATACATCTAATAAATGCTTTACAATACTTGGCGAGATGTCCTTTCTTTAAACATATGTAACACCCACCTTTTTTCCTTAATGCATTTTTCTTTTCTTCCAGTGACAGCTTATCTGCTTTGCTGCACTCTATTGTGTTATGACTTTTGTCGCAGAAAAAACAGACTATCACCTTACCTTCTTTATCATTCTGGTCCTGCTTCGTCACGAAACACGCCGTCGTCGGAATCACCTGCTTTTGAAACGTGTTACAAAAAGAAGACTTGGCAAGATTACATCTGGCCTGTGCCTCAACTTCATTTTCTAAGAATTCCATCAACTGTTTAAGTTTCGACCCTTTCTGGCTTGGTATTTTAGTCCATTGTAATAAAATGTCATCTGGTAATGATGACTCTATTAATGGTAATAAGATGCATTCGTACTTTTCTCTAACTATTCCTAAAGATTCCAAAATTTGTAAATTAACAGAAATTTTATCAAAAATGTAAATTATATCTAAGTTATTTTTTGTTAGAACAACATCTAAAATTTCTCGGACATAAATTTCAATCAAAATTTCATCCTTGGCGAAGCGTTTCTTCAATGTGTCTACTACCTTCTCATAGTTCTCCTTTGTAGGCGGATAACTTTCCACTAATGCTCTTGCCTTCGAATGTGGAGCCATGCAATTTAATAAATAAGTAAATTTATCTTCGCTTTGGATTTTTTCGTCCAAATGAATTTTTTCATACTGCGTCCAGAATGCGATCCACGACTTCGGGTTATCATCAAATTTTCGCATTTCTATTTTAGGTAGGTTCAACGGTATCTGAGTACATCCCTGTTTGCTTGAGCCTGCTCCATTACATTTTATCTCCAGCCATCTTTTCTCTATTTCTTGACAGTCGTTAAATTCGTTAGTTATTGTTTCTTCGTCGTAGTTGACGTCTTCTAACAAAATTTCTTGTATTCTTTGATCTAAACTTATTATAGCTTTGAATTTCGTTTCTAAAAATTCAATATCGGCGTCTGTAAATTTTTCCTTCGCCGCGTGTCTGTTAAAAATACGTCTGAATTGGCACCTTTCTCGGGTTAATTTTTTAAGGTCCATTTTTATTCGTATTCTTCGTGCTATCTATATTAATCCAAATCAATTTTACATGATTTTTTTTTAGTCACGGTCGCCACTTATATATGTGAGGGATCTTTGCAATAAAACTATTATTTCCTCACATTTCCAGGTTCTTTATTCATGTTCGGACACATGTTCTTATTTTTCTTAAATTCTAAAACAAACGTCACTTCTTTTTGACACATTTGTACAAAATAGGTTTTAATCTACAACAGATATATTGAGAACAGAATGTATAGCAGGTCATCGTGGAGCGACCCGGAGCACTTCGTGCAGCGGCAGTCCTGTCTGAACACGTTCGCGACGGCGTGGGGTTACATGCCGCTGCTGCGCTCCGTGCTGCGTCTCGACCCCATACTGTTCAAGGATCCCGTCTCCACGCTCAGGAAGAAATACAGGAAGATGGAGCTAGTCACCTACTAGACGTAGATCTTTGTGTTTTTAGTCAACATCTTAGATGGGTTTCTGTTCATAAATATTCTAGTATATATGAATAGTTGAAAAATGAAATGTCACATCAATCGATGGATATAAATGAGAGAAAACTGTGATTAACTTTATTCATAATAATTAAAGTTAATTACATTTATCTTTTTACAATCTGACATAACATTTATGTAGAATATTTAAGTGACATAGATCAAACTACAGTTATAGCGGTTATTTACTTAAAAATCTGCACCATTATTGTAGTAGTACGAAATATATTGTTTACACAATTGTTGTTAAAATAATACTTTTTACATCCTCACCCATCCTCAACAGTACTGTCAAGTCTTATTGCTACCCTTGTTCGAGAAACATTCTACTTTCTTGTCAATTCCTACGAAAGTCTGGAACTGTCGCTCTGAGATCCTCTTAGTAAAGATTTATCTTATCAAATCTAACCGCCCGAGAGAGGACAGACCGTCAGGTATCTTCTGCATCACCTCGATGGCTGGTACTCTTTAAAAGCGCAGTGTAGTTTCTAAGCCAGTACGACTTAGGATCCTTTAAGAAGCGAGCGTTGCTTTTTGTCATAGTCGGCAACATATCTGCAGATTCTCTTGTGGTGCAGATGTCCATTAGCGGTAGTGATCACTTTAGATTTATCGCTCCGCGTTTGTCCTCTGGTTTTATTTAAAAAAAACTACCGGACTCGCTTTTTTTTTTAATGGTTGCCATTGTTTGCCTTGAGGAGGCATTTACAGCTTCACCGCGCTTGTGGTGGCTGAGCGCCGATGGCACTTAGCCTAAACCTCGTTTAAGAGACCGGACTCGCTAGACCCAGACTTCTGAGTACGTCAGTAAGTCATTAATTTGACGATCTGATTCCAATTGTGTATTATTCTGAAAATATTAAAGAGAATTTAATTGTATGAAGGATTATTTATCTGTAGTTATATTTTTATTTTCTAATGGTAATTAGATTTTATAGATTTTCACGAACTCTCATAAGCTTCTTGCAATTAATTATGTAATGAGAATGCGTGGATGTTTTGCAAATAATACATATACGGATACGATTATGTTGGCCTAGAAACTGACCTCGTGGTTACAAATATTGACGGCCATGTTTGTCTTAAGCGTTTAATGGTCACAACATGTCTTGTACTTATTGCAATAACCTAATGGTTAAGGACACGGACATCTAGTCTTGTATTCGTGGGTTTGAATCCCGCCATTCGACTATTGAATTGTATCCCAGCAGCTTTAGTCAGAATAGTTACAAGAAATATTAATCAAGTTCTACGAATTTTATTTAACCTTTTTTATAATTTACGTGGGAAGTTCAATAAGATTTTACTGGATCATTTTTATTTTCTGTTTTCTATTTTCTGGAATTAAACATTGTAGCAGCATTTTTATTTCGATTTTTAAATACGTAACCATCGAATCATCATTATAAACAAATTAAAATATATCATAATCGTAATCACCAATTAAATTATAATATATAATTTACATTAAGCTTAATTTTAGTTTCCAGGAACTAAGAAAGAAATTAAACACTTCATTTGGTGTTTGTGTTTAACTAATTACTTGGACGACGTAGGTCTTAGTAAAAACCACTTAGTAAAAAGCAAAAGTACGTACAAACGCGTATAAAAGTGCATTCACCTCCTTACTTATCGGTTATTAAACATGTTCTAAAATAAATCGGTATTAAATTAATAGGAACACTTTGGCATACCAGAAGGGGTCATCTAACTGCATCGGATTGGTAAATGTTGCATAAGTAGAACGCAAGCTGACATAACGAAAACTTCGCAATCAGCTGGTCGGCCTTGGCCCTAATGGTCGCGGTGGCGGTGGGCCGCCGGGCGCCGCAGCGGCAAGCACGCTTCGCACTAGCAGCTCGCAGTGTTATCGGTGCAGTCAAACCTATTGCTTGCAGTGCACCACGCCGGCTTTAACTACTCTGTGACTTAAAACATCGATCAGTGCGTATCTGGCATATTCAAAATAACTGAAATGTATTTTGTATAAAAAATAAAGTGGAGTCTCACTGTGACTGTACTCTGCTGAGTATGTTGAATATTCATAAGAATGTATTGTTTCGGTCCCATCGCGCAAGGTTAATAAATTTTTCACTTAAGCAATGTGTCTTGTGTCTAAATAAATGATTGTGTAATTTTATTTTAGGTGCTTAGAATAACTTGAATAAAAAGGCTGCAAAAAGTGTAACTTCCTGCTAAGAAAACAAGAGTACGTGATAAGGTTTTAATTTTTTTATGGTATCAAATATTAATTATCATCCCAATTATTTATGTATATTAATCATATTAACCATATTAGACTTGATAATTCCTTTAATTGGATTTGTTAAATGACTTGATTTAAAAAAAAATATTACTCATTTCATTTTTTTCATAAATATCTTGTTTATTATTTTTACTAACAATTTAAACATTTAGAGAATGCATCTACGGAGACGTATTTTGTGACACATGTAGTGTTCAGTGAAGGGTGGATGACCTTAAACTCTTTTTTATCGTGAATCTATTCTGACGGTTATCCTTATCAATACTTTGCTGACTAAATGTGAATGCTAAGGTGGATGGAAAGGGAATAAGTGCTCCGTACTCATAAATAATACGTAATATTCTTCACATTTATAATAAATCTGAACAATTATTAAGTTGGTTATAACGAAAAATCAATTTTTAAAAATGTTTATGTGTCAGTAAAGTACGCGTAGGTTTGGTTTCGATTACTATCTGACAAAATTAACGTGATGGTTTCAAAAAGTCACAAATGCATGATTTTTTTAATTAATCCCAGTGACGCAGAGATAAGAACAACACCTGTTACACATGAGTATATACTATATAAATAAATAGTAGAGTATGTGGTAAATAAACAGTAAAGTGTAAAAGTTTAAGTACACTTTAGTAATGAAAGCTTACGTTTGTTACTCATTCGTTATAAAGAAGTGTTATAAATTACAAAGTTATGTGCTTAGCTACAGAAAATTGAATCAAATTTCATTATTTATATTTTATCTCAATTTTACTGTGAGATGTCTTGGATAGTATAAAACAACAATATTCAGGCCCCTTTCCATTTACGACCTCTGCTAAAGCTGTTGCAAGATCTTGTCGCAATAGGAAGTATTACTCGTAAACATGTGCCAGGCAGCTTGGCGTTTTGAATATTGTTTGTTACTATGATGAAATATTACAAAATCAACTTTAATATAACAACGTAGCTTAACGTTTCGAAAACGCGTACAAAAACAATAGACATATTTTACTTTTTAGGCATTATATCAACCAGCCATTGATCTGTACAATTAATAAATTGGTGTGTCCGTTGGTAATATCGTAAAAAGAATTATATCACAAACACGAAGTATTTGTAGCTCAAGACGAAAATCCCATTTTCAATTATTGCTGTCTGTCTGTCCGAAAATTCCGTCCGTGTTTGTTCCGGGTAATCTCCGAATCGCCTGTACCGATTTTGACGGAACTGTTACTGAAAGGTTGATGCGTGCGGGAGTAACTTTGCGTTTTTTTTTTTATTTCTGTATTGACGAGTCCCGGGCGACCGCTTTTTTATAAATATTTTAAAACATCCAGCGTAGATGTTTCTTTATTCATAAATTATTAAGCCGGTATGTGTTGCAAAATCTCCGCTGCTTCTCACAAAACTGCATATATATAATATTTCATTTATTGTGCGTATTCATAATAATAAGGTATCCCTTGCTATCCTCCTTTAAGTCATAATAATAATGTCTTATTTATGTTTTAAATTGCAGGATAAAAATTAGAATCTGACCACTGTTTTTAAAAGTTTACTTTTATTCATTATTTAAAAAAATAACGAATAAGATATTTCCGTCACCTCTGGTAAACTTGGAGTAAACTGTGAGTAGATAATATTTAACTAAAGGATAGAAGTTTTATACATTTGAAAAATTTTATTAATGAAATCTAGACAGAGGTTTTCCAAATATCTGTCAACGATAGCTGTTTTAAACCAAGGTTTATAATAATATATTACATATTATGTATACATAATATGTTTTTGTCGTAGTTTTTGATGATTTACTTTATGATTCAGGAAAAGATCGATGTGAGTAAAATTATGTCGCAAAAGTTATATATATTTGTCGTTGGCGCCATTGTGATCGCTGTGGCAGCACTCCCGGCCGCCGCGCAACCAGTTAGTAGATCTTTGGTACATAATGCACACGTAAGCGCAACGCACTACAAATGACTTCCTACTACACATAATCATTATACAAATTGTGTAATACTGTTAAATTACTTGATACTACTGACTCTAAAACTAAAACACACTTAACTGTGTTTTTTAGCCAACAGCCGATGGGTCCATAAGCAAAGATCGTGCCTTAAGATATGTTACATTGAAGGCTGGAAAAAATGTAGCAACCACTCCACAACGAGGATTTTTTGGTACAATATTCAATCTTATTTTGGAGGTGAGTTAAAAGCCACATGCTAAGTAATAGTAAATATTTTTTGAAAATTTTTAAACTAAATTTTCAGTACTTTTGTAAGAAGTTCGCACTCGCAGTAAGCTGGTTCATCTGGTATTCGGTGGCTACTTCTCTTAGGCATCTCCTAAAAGCATTTGAGCCTGAATTTTTTTTATCATCGGCCTACCTTTATTATTCTTTACTGAGGTCGTGGTAATGCTCAGTGGTAGGTGGCTGCAGCTGCTGTTTCCGAGGTCTCAATTGCTAAAAATTATATTAATTAATATTACATTTAATGTTTCAGCAAATCAATGATACTAAAAGTGCGTACAGTCAAATTTCGGGATTAGTCAACAACCAATTTGCTGATAATGATGTAAGTACCTACAAGACAGCTGAATTTAAAATAGACAATATGATGGGGCAAGGATGATCATCTTGACCATGTTATGTTAATGCGTTCTTAAATTAAAATAAACTAAAAACCTTCATTGGACGTTCGTCACCGCTTTTTTAACTAAGTCTAGACTGTAAGTTCAGACTGACACGGACACCCCGGCATCTCGAATTTCTTGAAAGGAAATTAACTTTATTCGGAATTATGTTGTTACTAATTTATTTCCAGGATAAATCAAAGCCCAATGCTAACAATGGAACTGCAGAAGCGGGAAAAATAACAAGAGCAGAATTTTTGAAAATACTTGACAGAAATTTTAAAGGATTAGCACGACTTCGAAATCTTGAATGGCGTGAAGCGAGAAAGGTAAGCATGCTACTTGCCATTGCATGATGATGATATAAATGTAATATTTTAATTAACAAATATTTCAGGATTCATGGGCAAATCTCGTGGAGTACAAAAATGAAATATTCTCTGGAAAAAAACCAAGAAATAGAAGATAACAACGACGTAAAAATCATTTTTTTTCCTATATGTATAAAATCATAGCTAGACATAGATATTAAAAATACACAGTGTACAGTTTTAGATGTTTGATTTTTGTTACTTTTTTTATTTATTTTTAGTAAAAACAGCTAATAAAAATATTAGAAGTTCTAACAATAACAAGATCGAATGTTGTAGTCCCTTATCCCGCTTCCCCCATACATTTAACAAAAAAAAATGTGAAAAATTACAAGTATACAAAACTATGCCATCCATGTGACGGTGGCCATTTTGGACTTTTCACAGTACACTGCAGTGCACTGTGCACTACTAGATAAGTGCTTCCATTTCATACTATAAAACCAATATTGGTGTGGTTGTAAAAAAATATATAATCCGCCATTATGTGACGGCGGCCTCGATTTTTCATGGTGCATTGTATGTACAAGTGTACAAGGTGGTAAAATCTAATTCAAAACATTAACTAAAAATTTAAAAATTATTGTTAATAGAGACACTGACTTAAACATATTTCCTTGATATTTCTGTTTAAATGACAAGATTATTATATTTATTTATACCTATGTTTAAAATTGCAACATTGCAACTCTAAAAACCTGGAGTTTGCAAATCTGGCAACTTTATGACCTTTGCTGGCAACACTCATTCTCTCCCCCCCCCCCTCCATTTGAGTCAATGCGACCGAATGCGACGTTTTACTTTATGTGATTCGTTTTAATAAGTTTACTTAAAAATATTACGTTTTGACTTTCCCGTAGTATTTGCAGTTTTAGAAGCAATCGTGAGTATATAAATTAAATTATGATTATGATAACATTAGTCCCTTATCCCATATAAAGTTTTTTCCACGTAAGGTAAAAAACACACGACGCCATCTTAATCTCACCGGCTTGGGTATTTGATTTATCAGAAAAACCCTTTAATTAATTTTAAAGTTATTGTTAACAAATTTTCATCCAATAGTACTTATACTATAAAAATTACTTTAGTCTAAAGGGTAATTGGTTGTAACTAAATTAAGGACTATCATATTTGCTGATGCTTGACGATAATATTTTATTATCTGAGAGATTTATTAGGGTAGAATAGACCGTACCAAAGACAGCTAAATTTGTTTGCCTTACTGTTTTTTACTTCATAATCGCTGTGTTTAGTTGCTGTTAGTTCAATGTTTCATAACCTCTTATTGCCTATCTTTTAAAGTACGTTAAAATAGTAAAGACTACATTATCGTAATCCCACTCATCGTGGGACAGACTACAGTTTGTTGTTTTTTTTTTTAAATCATCTAAACACTGCAGTGACTACATTTGCACCTGTCGGGGTACCATCTTCAAGATGAGTGCTTATATAAGTAGGACCTCACGGTTTCGAAATTAGTTGTTGCCATCATTGGAGCTTAGACATGAGTGTATTTTCGATTTTAAATATCTGCATGCACTTCTCTGTGTTAACTTCAATACATCGAATTTCACGTTGATTCATTTTTTCATTTTATTAAAAACTAGTCCAACCTTTTCGATCCATGTATTAATAAAAATAGATACCAATCTCTACATAGTTATTTGTAAAGCAATTTTTAAATGATTGGAATGGAAGCCAATATAGCATCCAACAACTGCCCACCATACAATTAAATGTACACAAATTTATTACACAGTTGTCCATTATCTATAAACATTTCTTTTAGTGAAAATGTCTTCACGCGGGAGAATATATGGTGGTTATAGTGGTAGAGGTAGCTACAACAATCGAGGCAGTGGATACAGAGGAAGTTATCGTGGCACTAGCAGCAGAGGCTCATATGAGGGTGGGCGAGGAGGTCGGGGTGGTTACTCCTCATATAATAATGATAACCGCTATAATAATAGCAATTCTACGAGATATTCTACGGGCCGGGATAGAATTGATGATTCATATAAAAAACCTTATAGATCGGTAAGAATACTTTTCAGAATAGTAAATGTTAATATGAAATTGCCAATTTTTTAATCCGTAAACTATTTACCAAAGGATGCCTCTGCAAGCTACACAACTCGTGACTATGGCAGATCAGGTTCACCAGATCGAAAAAGAATGAGGATGGAGGTATGTAAATTACATAACAGGTAGATTTTGTAGTGAATATACTTACCTGTAAACATCTCTAGATGGGACCATAGAATCGGATAATTTATGAAAACTTTGGATAGTAATGATCTCAGTACTGACTGCATTATAGATTAAGAGACATTTTTGAGGTTGATTGTGACAATTTGCCATGATACTTGACTACTTAACAGAATGATAGAACAATGTCATATTATGATATTGAATTGATTTTGAGATGAATACAGTTCTCATCCATGAAATGAGTGACAATGGCATAGATAGATATAGATAGTATGAAAAATAACTCAATAAGGCCTTAATATGTACAAATACAAAGGATTGCAATTATATGCATTCTGTTGCAGAAGATGTTTGATAATTTGCAGAACAAATATATAATTGCTGCCAAATATATTGCTGGTTTTCCTTAGAACTTTCCTGCAGAAAGTTGAACCCTGGTCACATAAGTAATATATTTTGCCAAGAGCAATTTTTATGTATTAGTAAAAGATGGTACTGAGCAACTTCAGCTTTGAACAACCTAACAGCCATCGGATTTGCAAATATAATTAAGGCTTGGTATAATTAAAGAGAAAGTGTATTTGATGTGTTTAATCTTTTTGTGCACTTTGGTTTGTAAAACATGATAGAAGAACCAAAGAGACTTATGTCCAGGGCTCAACGAGCGATAGACGTAGCCATGATGGCGGCGGGCACTATGGCGGATCTTACGGCGGTAGACAAGATAGTTACAGCGGCGAGAGAAGGTCGTTCGGCGGCGAGGACCGAAGGCGGTCGCCGGCCCGAGATGGGTACCGCAAGCCGAGCGGCATGGGCCCGCCGCGCGAGCCAGCGCGCATGAGCGTTCGGCCGCGCGCACCACGCCGCTCCTACCGCGGCCGCATGCTGCGCTCGCGCGCCTCCTATCGCGGGGCGCCGCGCTCTCGCGGCTCCTTTACCTCTAGGCGCTTTGGCGAACGCACGCTCGGTTACACCCGCGCATTCAGATCTATCAAGGGCCGAAGGTAATTGAGTCTATTGAACCATGTTTACACTTAGTTTAGCGTGTTTTGGACAATTGAGGAAAAAAAATGCCATTTTGAAGAATTTTGAAATTATTTTTAATATTATTTAAGTAGAAAATTTCTACCAAAACTATATGAATATATAAAAATAAACCTTGTGTTGTATAAATCAGGAAAAAAAGATATTGATATAAAAGAGTAAGTTAGTGAACCAAAAGTCATGTGGAAAAAAGTTTACTTAATACAATTACTTCCTTCAAATGTAATGCAAGTGAGAGTCTCAACTGAACTTTTATATCTAACCTGTATAAAATGAGAAAACAATACAAAATAAACACAATTGTTGTAACTTATATGAAAAGATAACTCTTAAATTTATCTTCTCCAAATCTTAATACATTAGAAAGTATCTTAATGGAAATGGCTGATGTTAAAATGAATATTAACTTTAATCACTCTATTGGCAAAGGCGGATACAGGGCAAAGAGAATCAATACTGGGAATGAAACACAGGTCTCCGGTCTTAATAGATGTAATATACCAAAAGAATATTTATTTAAAAAAACTTATTAATGGCAGTATTTTATTGAAACATGAAAAAAGTGGGATACAATAAAGCAGAAAGGAAAAATAAATCTGAATTATCAACATATATAACTGCTTATGTATTGTCTTACTTTAGAGTAATAACATTATTGGTTCTTTTTATTAAGTGCACTGTTGAAACATTAACTTGACTGAGTTGAATTTCTATTTTTGGCAATCATATCATGAAAAACTTGAATTGGAATTTGATACAGTTTATGGGACTGTACCTCAATAACTATATGCACAGGTAATAATATGTTGCACACCAAGTACAATGGCCCCAATATGCAATACAGAAATCTTTATTACCTTGGATACCATATACCAATATTTTAATCTAAATTAAGCATTAGTAAGTAATACAAATTTATATCCATGGTAATTAATGTACCAATCAGAACTTTTAATTGAACATTTATGGTTTGGGAATTTTGAATAATTAAATTTATTTTAGCTCCATTAAATCAAAAGACGAGGCATCATCGACTGAAGAGGATTGGGATGCGGATGAGAAAGAAGAAGAAGCTATTGAAGAGAAGAAAGAGGCCAAGATAAAATCTCCCAAAGTAAACACTCCATCATATGTTTTTTAGCATAAATTTTAAACTATAAATTAATTATGATTATAATTTTAAGGTGGAGCCAGAAGGATCGGAAGGGGATGTTGGCGAAGGTGGAGAAGATACTGACAAAGAGCCCGATGCTGCTTCAGATGGTGAACCGGATAATTCAAGATCGTCCTATGTGCTTCTCTCGTGCGTACACTGTAAAGAAAAGTGTGCTACTTTTGTTGTAAGTACAGTGAAAAATGATTTCTGTATGTTTTACATTCTCGTTTTAAATTATTCATTAAAAAAGTTTATATTGTATCATATAGGGCTACACCAGACACTTGCTGTCGAACAAGCACCGCGCGGCTATGAGTGCTGTGGCGCGGCGGCACAAGGCACAATTGCTGCGCATGCGCGTGGCACAGCGCGGAGCGCAGCGCGAGCTAGAGGCATCAGCGGGTGCGGAGCTGGCAGCGCGCACCACCTTCTGTATGGTGTGTCGCCTCAACCACCGCACCACCAGCCACGCGCACAGCCTCACCGACACGCACCGCGCCATGCGCCGATTCCTCATGCCCTTCTGTCGCATCTGCCGCATCAAATTCCGCTCACCCATGATTTACGAACATCACATCTGCTCACTGGAGCATCTCAAGGTTACTCATATAGTCTTTTACTATAACAAAAAAGCATATATTTATTAAAAATGTACACAACATAATTTATATATTATTTTCTACAGAGAAAAGCTAATCAGACCGCACGTCGAGCTAGCCCAAAAGCTGAAGCCAGTGGCGATGAAGGCATGGATGTTGATTTAGAAAACTTTATGACCCTTGACTCTGTGGGCGATGTAGATGGTAAATATAGATGAAATATCTTGTACCTTCATGGATTATTATTACTTACTCAGCTGGCGCATCGACACCATGTGGGTCTTGGCCTCCAGCACAAGAGATCGCCATAGTCGCGTGTCGAACGAAACGATTATTATTATTTATTACTTGTTTTTTACCATTTATTATTTTAGAAGTTGAAGATGATGATTCTGGTGCCGAGAAGAAAGATGAATCACCTAAAAAGCCAAAAGTAGAAATAAACATTGGAAGTGAACATATTAAAAAAGTTGAGGTATGCCATAAATTTATTGTAATTATGTTAGAAAACTGATGTACATGATTTAAATAGAATTTTAATTCATTAGTTTAATTAAAATAAAATCACAATGTTAATTGCAATTTGTTCCCAATCTTGAAACTTGCATAAATTTTATTAATAAGTGGCGTTGATATCTTGGCAGGTGTTGTGGTGCGAGCTGTGCCGCGTGTACCTGCCGAGGGGCGCGGGTGGGGCAGGAGCTGAGGCGGGCAGCGCGGAGGAGGCGGAGGCGCTACGCCGGCACTGCCGCATGCGCACGCACCTCGGTCGCTACGTGCAGCACCGCGACACGCGCACGCTGCGCCGCCACGCCGAGCGGATACACCGCCAGCTCCACCAGCAGAAAGGTGGCCTTATCTATCCATTTTTTGTTATTGGCTTTTTTTTCCAAAAGAAAGATTTTGAAAAGTTAATATTTAACAGAAGATGAAAAAGCTGAGGCCGGTGAAGACACCGCTGATGACAAAGTGATGACCGAAAAATCGGAATCCGGTAACGAAAAGAAAAATTTGGAAAATGGCGCGGACATTACTAATGCAGGTATATAATAATAATAATAATTTGTTAATTTTTACGAAAAATCAAAATGTTTAAATGTGATAAAAACTAGTTTTAGCTCACTGTAGATGCCAGCTTGAGTTCCTACTTTCATTTTGCACTAAATGTACAAAATATACAAAAAACAGCTTATGTTTTGTTCTATGTCTGTGCCAAATTTCAGTGAGATCCATGCCGCCTTTCCGGAGATACCTTTAAACAAACATTCCCTCTCCTCGTTCCTGCAAAGTAACCTTTAATTATTTATTTGTTTATTTAGGTAGTGAAGATAAATTATGGGCAGATGTTGATAAAGATATAGGAGAACTTTTGAGAGAAGTAGATCCACAAGGCAATGAGGGCAGTGATGATGACGAAGACCTTGGAAGGTAACTGATATTGCAGTTTTTTTAATGCGGGTGGCAAATGGTGTGCACAGCAAGAAAACCAAATTTGTCTAGATTGTAATCATTATCAAATCTGTTCCCATCATTTTCAAATGTTTTGTAATGGAATTCGCAGATATGACAAGTTTCGTAAAAGCGATAAGAAGTCGAAAATTGGCGATGGTGAAGAAGGTGATGTGAAAGCTGGTGATATTTCTAAAGAGAAAACAATAACTGAAGTCAACTCTACTGCATAATGTTCTTTTAATTACTATATAGATAACAGATTTTATGTATGATTATAGTTACACAACTGTTTCTTAATTTTATTTGTGTACCTAAATTAGATAAAATTTCATAAATATTGGAATTATTTAAGAATAAATAAATAATTATTACTATCTAAGCTTTTGGTTTGTGTCATCCTTGGTAATTTAGTTAAAGGAACAAAATAGTTGGCGACCAGCGGGGCTAGAAAAAGAGTTTTCGCTTCAAAGAGATTCCATAGCGAAATTTAAAAATGTATGGAAATTACATACATACTTTACAGTTTGCGCACAACAATCACGTGACTTATCAAAAATTATTGTAATTATTATTACCACTTTGTCTAGTCCTGCACGATTTAGGCCAAGAAATCCTTTTTAACTCTTCCCAAAATCTTTACGGCAACCCTGAGATAATGTTTTAGCAACGAAAATCTATGGTTACAATTATTCTTAAACAACCTTTGTGTTTAAGTGGTTTCTTAAATTCCATAGACCTTGACTAACAAATAGAGTGCAGGACATGGGAATTGATGAATAAATACACAAGTTATGTTAAAGATATTTATTGATCAGACTACTTCTTAGCCTTCACTTCCTTTGCACCTGTTGGGGCTTTAGTGACGTCATCAGGATTTTCAGCAGCATCCTTCAATCTCTTAGCTCTAATACCAACAAGTTTGGCAATAGAACGAGCCTGTAAACAATACACATTGTTTAAATATGTGGAAATAGTAAAATTGGCCAAAGCATATTTTATTCGTGCAACACATCTTATTTTATTGGCCCAGAGCCAATTTAAAAAAAAAATCAATTATTTTGTACATATGTACTAGTAGCTTTTTACTAATTTCTTTAAATTGTTTTGTTAAAAGTTTGAAATTAATTAGTCCCATTTACTAATTTGCTGTAGAAATTTTCAAAATACCATTTTAAGTGTGTATTCTGGTAAAAAGGAAAAATTGTTTCTAGTAAAAAATAACACTGTAATAGTTTTGTTTAAATTGTAACAAATCCCACATATTTCCATTTTTTCTAAATTTCTAATTGTAATTGCATTACTTTATTGACATGGAAATGCTTATACATGAAATGATTTTTAATTTATAACTTACTCCTCTCAGATATTGATAGGCCTTGAAGTCTTTCTCCTCTTCAGTGATGACACGGGCGTGGGACTTAGGTGCTGGTTGTTGCACTGGCATTAGGGGGCCGCGAAGCTGTGTAGCCAACTTACGTTCTTCTTCATTAGCTTCACCCTTCAGGACCTAGAAACCAAATAATATTGTTGTAGGCAATGATTTTAAAAGAGATAAAGAAACCAAACAAATTATGATTGTATCATTAATACTTGGTTTGATCCCATGGATAGCTAAATACAATATATGTATAGTTTTTATCAAATATGTTATTGTTACATTGTTGTTATACAAGTGTTACAATAATGAAAGCTCACAGTTATATCTATACAACAAAATAAGTTATGTCAAATATGTAAATTCAAAATGTGAAAACAAAATAATACTCTTTCCAAAATAGTTAACAATATAACTACAGAGTTGGTATCTTTGCTCCATATCTGCTTATTTATTAAACCTGTGTAAGTGACAGTCATCGTTTCCAAGACCCCCATATAGTTTTTTTTTTAATATCATAAAGTGGAAAATGAGTGAGCAGCCACCTGAAATCGCTGAAATAGTGAAGTGACCATTGCCCATAGACATATGCAAATGCATATGTGTTGTCTACTTTTAATCAACGGAGGTGAGGATGCACAAAGAGAAAATATCTTCCCTTTCCATGCATCCTTTCATTTGAAACATCCACTTTCACTTCCCAAATCCTTTCCTTATAAGAAAAAGGGTGGGAAGGGAAAGAGGACTCAATTAGGCCTCTGGGACACACACTCTACAGATGAAATGTGGAAATGCTTCCACTTCACGCCTGTCTTCTGTGTGGTTGTGGTATTTCACCGGGTGAGCCGGGACAATTCATGCAAAGATGTTAAAGAGGGCTCTACCACTGTTAGTTATAGCTAAAGTTGTGCTTAATAAAACAACATTCAAAGTTTGTAAAACTTATAACCTCAAGGGTGTTTATGAGATTACAAGACAAAATGTAGTAAGAAATTAAAAAATGCTAGTCAAAAACACTATTCCAGATGGTCAAAATCCTGGGCTCAGCTAGTATAATATAAGAATGAGTTTTTCTTGACGTATTAGTTTCCAGCATAGTTTAAATATGTACTTATAACTAAAATCTCTCATAAACAATAAATCATAAAATATTAACTCTTTCTGAAGAGTAATTCAGGAAATTAGTACTAATACTTCCATTGAGATGTAATAATTATAATTTCTTTTACTAAGGATTCCCTTAAGGATGTTTTGAATATTGACTGGTGTGGTCCAGCAATGTTTAGTTTCTATAGAAATAATTCTGTCGCAATTACTTTTTTCCAATAAATTTAATATTAGTAGCACTAGGATCATAAAATGTTTTTAATAATGGAACACAATTTACCTTCTTGCCCTTAGGGAACAGAATAAGTCGAGCTCTGTATTCCTTTATCCTTTGAACATTTGTCTGCAAAGATTCTACAGACTTATTACGCCTGCGAGGATCGACGGCGATACCAATAGTTCTAGCAAAAGCCGGATTGAGTCCAGCGGCCTAAAATATAAGAAAACAATGTCGTCAGTAACGAATAAAAACTTGAGGCTCTTTTTTACTTTAAGATAGTAATTACCCTTATTTCGCGAAGTGTAAATCCACGCCCGGCGCGGACCTTAGTATGATACCGAACAGTAGGGCATCGCACCACCGGTCGTAGGGGACCTGCTGCTGGACGAGGTGCGATTGCCTTTGCTTTCTTGATTCTGTTTTGCTTCCTGCGGTGTCTTCTTGCAGGTTGGTTAAACCAAGTTTTCACGAATCTTTGCCAATCCTTATGGAAATGGCCATTTGGGATCATATTATTCCCCTTCCCCATGTTTGTTAGTAACTCACCTTACCTGAAACAATTCGATTATATCTTGAAATAATTGATCGCACGCATAAATTGCAATATTAACGGAATTGTCGTCAATTATCGTTATATATTATTTAATGATTTTCGGTATTTTTTTAGATTTGTTAAAATATAAAACTAACCACAGAGCAAAATGAGTTAGAAAAGAAAGAGACAGATAATCACAGATAAACATAAAATGACAAAGAGCAAAGGCAAAGAGTAAATATGTTTTTGAGTAGTTATAACTCAATCAATATAACAGAAAAAAACAGCTTTTCTCACAAAGCAAAGTGAGCCAAAGTTCACTTAAAATAGGAAAATTAAAAATAAATGATTTAAAATTTTCTCGCTAACTATTAGCTAAGCTATTTTATGTACTCTTTGTCGCTAACAGCAGAATACTTGTTGGATTTGTCGTCGTGATACTTCGTAAGTCAACAAAGGTATTTGATACTTAAAAGACAGCGCAATGAGTCGTGATAAATAATCTGTGCCACTGTGCTCTGTGGTTGTATGGGTCTGTGCAATTTTTTCACAGATTAGATTTCTTTAATTTGTCTATGGTTGAATTGAATGATAATGTGCTGAGCCTTCCTACTTAATTAATAATTAAATTTTTCGCTTTTCATACCTACTCTCTTGATTGCCACCTAAAATGGAAGATAACAAGACTGTTACAGAAGAAAACCAAAAACCAAATGAAGAAAAACATTCTAAGAAGAAGAATAAAAACAAGAAAAAGCGTAACACAGGCGATGGAGACCACGGCAGTTCGGGAACTTCTGAAATCGCTAACCCGGGAGATGTTCATCAAAACATTCCTTTGATAGATCTTAAAATAGCAATGGAAGTGTTAAATCTCCAGCAGAAGCCGGCTAAGACAACCGAAGAAGCTTTACATAAGTCTTATAAATTTTGGTCTACACAACCTGTTCCAAAAATGGATGAAAAAATAGTTTCAAATGAGCCCATCGAACCTCCAAAGGCCGTAGAAGAAATACGTTCTGAACCGTATACTTTACCAGACGGATTCCAGTGGGACACATTAAATCTTAATGAGCCATTGGTTTTAAAGGAATTATACACATTGTTAAATGAAAATTATGTTGAAGATGATGATTGCATGTTTAGATTTGACTATCAAACCGATTTCCTGAAATGGGCTCTACAACCTCCTGGCTGGCGAATGGAATGGCACTGTGGAGTCCGTGTTATAAAATCTGGCAGACTTGTAGGATTCATATCCGCTATACCAGCGGAATTGCGAATCTATGAGCATGTGCAAACTGTGGTAGAAATAAACTTTTTGTGTGTACATAAAAAACTTCGTGCCAAGAGAGTAGCCCCTGTATTAATCAGGGAAATAACCCGCAGAGTGAATTTAACAGGTATATTCCAAGGAGTATATACTGCGGGAATTGTTTTACCAAAGCCAATAGCTACATGCCGGTATTGGCATAGGTCATTGAACCCTAAGAAACTAATTGATATTAAGTTTAGTCATTTATCTAGAAACATGACTATGCAAAGAACTTTAAAGTTATTCAAGCTACCTGACTTACCTAAAACACCTGGATTCCGGAAGTTAGAGTCTCAAGATTGTGAGAAAGTTCTTAAATTACTAAATGATTATTTAAAAAGATTTGACTTAGCACCAATATTCTCTGAAGAAGAGTTTAAGCACTGGTTTGTTCCTCAAAACGGTATTATTGATAGCTTTGTTGTTGAAGCAACTGATGGTACAATTACAGACTTTGTAAGTTATTACACCCTTCCGTCCACCGTTGTGTACCATCCGGTGCACAAAACTCTCAAAGCTGCTTATTCATTTTATAATGTATCTACAAAAACTCCTTGGACTGATTTGATGCTAGATGCACTGATAACTGCTAAAAACTCTGGGTTTGATGTATTTAATGCTTTAGATTTAATGGATAATAAAGAATTTTTAGAACCACTTAAATTTGGGATCGGGGATGGAAATCTACAGTACTATCTGTACAACTGGAGATGCCCAAGCATAACTCCTAACAAAATTGGTTTAGTTCTTCAATAACAGTTTCATATTGTTTTTGGGTATGCTAGCTTATTGCTTTCTTATTTATATTTTGTCTCAAAATATGTAATGTTTTTATTCTTTCTAAATATAATAACAGTTGACAAATTTTATTTCTTTATTGTTATAATGTGGGAACATTTAATTTTATTAATGCTACTTTCCTAAACATTGTTATTCTAGAACATGTTTCAATTCTCCTAAAAATTAAAAATACTCTGCTATATATCTTCCTCTCTTTATTACTATGATAAATAACTAGGATATCCACAGATACAAAGAACTACATATATACAAATTGAGTTTTAATAAATCATTTTACATTCTACAATAGCTCATTTAATATTGTGAAACAGTACAAACATGCTAGTACTTAAATTATTATGGATATAACAAAAAAAATCCGTCTTTAAAAAAATGCTAATTGCAACCACTCTCCTGATACATCCTGAGCCTATTTAAAAAATACTACAAAAAACTAAGGTACTTAAACCAATGGATATCCATAATTTAAAAATTGTCTTAACAATGGAAATACAAAACTTCAGTTTCCAAAGTTAATTATTATTCAATTTCTACTATTGATAGCTTGCGCATCGATAGTTTTAGTTTCAGCAGAACAACATTGTAAAATTCAATGAAAACATTATCTAAAAGCTTAAAAATGAATTGCTAAAAGTTTGGTTTTAAATTTTTTCTTGTTTATGACACTACTAACTACAAGAATTATGAACCCGGGTCCATCTAATAGGAATTGTAACCGATACGCACGAAAGATTCAAGTGGAGTAATAAAAGGCTGTACATATTTTAAGGCAACTTGCAATTTTATCACAAGACAATTTTAAGTATCAGCGAAGACACATCTTCCCTCAGATAGATAAGTCAAGGGGGGAGGACTCCCCCTTGACTTATCTAGCATCCACCATCCAAATATGCTTGCAGGTGACCACGAGTCACCATAAAGACTGAATATTACGTCCGCTTTTCACAAGCACCTACATAGGAAACATTACATCACGTATTCATCGGCATTCGTGATGCTATTAAGAGGATTTTATAAAAAAAAAAGTATTTTCAAAAAATTGTTTTTAAGTGTGGGCTGTGAGCATTGTATAAAAAATTTAGGTTTTCATTCCGAACAAGGTACTTAACTTATACTTACAGTGCTTTGCTTTCACGTTTGACCAGAAGGATGACGAAAGGCCTCACATCTCTCTCTATTCCCTGTACGAAAAGATTGACAATGGCCTTGCAGTCGTAGCGTCCGTTACTCGCACAATTTTAATAGATAGCAATGGTCGCCGATATCCTGAGCCCTGCACTTTTTCTGTAATTATGGTATTTTATACTGCTATGAATAGGACGCAATCGAATTGTTGAGTAAGAGCTTCGTTTACGGTGTTACTAAATCGTAACTACTTGTATCTTTCTTATTTAGATAACTAGTTTTAATCCATTTAATTTAAAGGGGGTATTCAATAGAATATTAAAGGTCCTGCATTTATATCAAGATAAAGTTTATCTTTTAATTATTATCTTTGTTACTTTCTCATTTGCTGTAATCAAAGTTTTATTTACATATGAGAAACATTTACAAGCGACCTCTATAGGCCATCTGTGAAAATGGTAAAAACAGATAGACCGGAGGTAAACCATGCTCCAATGACTATGGAGCACTGAACCATAGCAAACTTTGTTATTACAACATGCTGTATACAGTTTTCGGTTTACATTAATAAGCCTAACCTACTTTTCCTTGAGTATTCGGAAATCATTTATTTTAGGTAACTACAGGTCAGGTTATGAAATAAAACACGCGGTTATATTGAATATTCCCTGGAATATATATTATAACAATACATAGTAAATCAGTTACATTGGCGACCAAGTTTTCAATACATGGTAGACAAATGTCCAATGTAAAACTGATGAAGAAAAAGAAAGATAATTGCAAGAACAAAAGCCAACTCCATTTACTGAGAAACAAAAAAGTTTAAGAAACTAAACTTAAATCCAACTTCTTGGTCAATATAGAAAGTCAAAGTACCCAGTAGCATAACACTTTCAAGTATAGAAATGTTGATAGTTGCGTTGTTTTTGTTTGCAGCAATGCACTTCCAATAATGCTAATCATAGTTATATATGTTGGAAATGTGCATCCCACCTTTTCTTTTATTTTTCAATTTTTATTTTTAATTTTTTTTTATGACCGGGACTAAATTTAAATTATAGATGTTCGAAGCATTAAAATAATATAAAACGGCAGAAATAAACCTTGCAGCTTATAAGTTAATTTTCAAAGCTACCTCATCTTTTTTGGTAGCCTGCTGTTTAGCTTGGTGAGCTTGCAAAACAGCAACAGCCTCGTCGACCTTAGCCTTCAAGGATTCTCCATGCTCCAACATGTGGAGCAATTCAGAATTGTCAATCTCCAAAAGCATTCCGGTAATTTTTCCTGCCAAATCAGGGTGCATCCTCTGAATAAGTGGGAAAAGTCTCTCACCCAACATTTGCTTCTGTTCCTGAAGTGGTGCTGCAGCTAACATTGTGGTGGTTAATGGTTCTTGACCTTGAATATGCACTGCAGGTTGCGGAGCTGGTGGGTTACGCATGTTAGAAGTGTACTTATAACCTGCCGGACGACCAGATTGAGGGACAATAGGTGCACGAATAGATGAAGCAGTAGCCACACCTTGCTGTCCTGTAATAGGTCTAGCTCCCATCGATGAACGTAATGCTGCTTGGGCAGGCCCACGTGGTGCAGGGCGGAATGGAGGCTGCATGTTGGGATAAGCTGAAGCAGCAGATTGGGCATTGGGTCTAACGGCTGGCTGAGCAGTCCAGCGAGGAGATGGTCTAATTTGCGTCATTTGAGCTGGACCGTAGAATCGTTGGGCAGGAGGAATGGTTGGTACGAAGTATCCTCCGGTACCTCCTGGTTGGAATATCTGACCCATCTGTTGCATGCGCATGCTGGCCATACGTTGCATATACTGCGATGTCAAATGTGCTTTACGATCTTCTTTGCGTTGAGCCAATGCTACATACAAAGGCTTAGTTCCGACAATACGCCCATTCATTTCTGTAACAGCTTTAGTAGCTTCTTCGGGAGATGAGAAACATACAAACCCAAAGCCTTTACTGCGGCCATCTTCCAACATTACCTGAACAAGAAAG